AGTATGTTTAACCTGAAGATCCTATTAGCCAGTTATGATGGCAGAATTGTGGCAGCCTGTGAGGGTGGAGTTCTAGAAGCATCTTGCCTAACACACTGCCTAAGCTAAGCAGCATTGTGATCCGTCACAGTAAAAGGAAAACTTGCCATAACTAATTAGCATGTGTTCATCACTTACAGAATGCTAAAGACCTGCAGAGAGCACTGGGCACAGGGAAGATGCTTCTCAAAGGCAACCTCTTGGCTGTATGTGGTGGCTCTGCACACATCTGTAGTCCCAGCACTCATGTTTCAACAACAGAACAATCAAGGGCCGTCTCCTGATACATTAGGAATGTTCTGTTGTCCACAGCCAGAAGGCAGTGAAAGTCAACTCATGTCACCCCTGCACACCCCTGGCACTGCTAAGGACTCAGGACACACTTGGCTCCAGTACTGTCCCTCAAGCCATGTCATTCATCCAAGGGATCCTGTGATACTGGCACTTCCTCAGCCCTCAGAACTATGAATGGAGGCCCAGACCATAATAGACAGAAAAATGTGCCAAACAGAACCTGGACCAGGGAACCAGCAGAGGAAAGCAGGGTCATGGTGTCTCTAAGCACCCTAGGTATAATTTATACAATTTACCAACAAGGCTCAAAAGGTCCCATGGGGCGCCAGTGCCTGCCTCCAGCCCATGTAACAGGTCGGAAGAGGACGAAGGACTTGAGCTGTGAATCCACCTGTACAGGTTTCTTAAGGATTTATTCAGGTCCCCTTCCCAGCCTCCATGTCACCTGTTGCTGTTTCTTCTCTCAGAACTGTTATGTGGTCTCAAAACTCTGGCTGTGATATGGCTGCCGCTGTGACGGTATCAGGTGGTGAGTGGGCGGGTCACAAGATGCTATCCCCTCTGTTGGTCTATTCAGTGATAACCCCTCTACTCCACCATTAGTGATGCTCTCCCACATGATACTGCAAGATGACCCAGGGCATGCCTGAAAGCTAAGCCCCATCGCCCATCCTCCTGGACCCAGAAAGGTAACCTGAGGATACCCAGCCTAAGGGGTTCCTGGTGCCCTCTAACCCAGCTGGTGACAAACTCTGTATGGTCTCGCTCTTTATAAATTACCTAGTCTGGGGAATTCTGTTATTTTACCAGCAAACAGACTAAGCCAGAAACATACTCTTCACCCTGCCTCCATCTGTCCAGTTCCTACTTACTCTTTAAGGTCTATCCTAACATGGCTCTCCTTGCAAGTCCACTTTGTCCACAACTGCCACACACTGAAAGGAAGCCTCTATTGTATCTGTCAGCACAAAAGCACTTTGCCCGCCTGGAGGTCACCTGTGTGACCTTCCCTTCCCTTCTACTGTATAAGTCCTGGCTTCCCCACCTCCTCGGGCAGTGGCTCTCAACCTTCCTAATGCTGAGACCCTTTAATACATTTCCTCATGTCCAATCATAAAATATCTTATGCAGGATAAGAGTCAAAACCCACAGGTTGAGATCCACTTCTATGGGCTCTGGAATGGCAGAACCGTTCTTGGGCCCAGCAAACAGCTCCACAGGACACCCTCTCTGTTGCCTACACCCCCTCCATCAGTATCTCAAGCCCCCCCCAACCCCAAATGCCTTTCCTCGGTGGCCACTTTCCTGCTTTGCTTCCTTCATTACACACCCTATGCCATCTGTATGCCTATATCTCTGTCCACATGCAGTGGCCCAGGCCCTTGGCCATCCCCCCTCCTCCAGACTGGACACACAGCAGAAAGCCACCTCTAAGCCAAGAACCTGGTTCAACTTTTGCCCTTCCCTAGGTCTGGACCTACCTCTGAAGCTACCTAATGCCTGGCACCAAGCACAGACCCTCTCTGCCAATATCCTCACGAGTGTTTTACCATTCTCAAGTGCCTGTTCTAGTACCAGCTTACCTGTCCAGGCCTGGTTTACAGAGCAGCAAGAGGTGAAGTTTCACTAACCTCTAAAATAGATCCTCACGTCACTCTTGTAAGCGTAGCTATTAAAATGTAAACCCCATGATGGAATGGCCCCAGTCACCTCCAACTCACAGGGATCAGCTTCTCTTTAAGCATCAGCGAGCTGACCCCGCCTCTTCTCTGTACCCTCCTGCCTCCTTCCCTGGAGATCCTAAACCGTCCATTACACACTGCTGCCTGCAATTGCTCTCCTGACGCCCCTGTTGTAACTTCTCGCAACACAAGTATGTCTATTCATTGAATCAGACGTGATTTCACAGGACCACAGGCTGCGCTCACTTCTTCTGAGTGAGCTGTGGCAGCCTTCGCTGAACTGTCATTGAGCACCAAAAGAAAGGTCTAGTTTTGAGAAGCTGGTTCAAGGAAGTACACAGGGCATATTATGGTTCCCGATTACTTTACCTGCTGAGGATAAATAAATGACCACTATGGTCCTCTCCTGGGAAACCAGAACAGAGAGTTACACAGGCGAGGAGACGGAGCAGGAGGCCGGGAACCGCAAGCCCTCATGCCTACCCTTCTGAATTAGTAGACAAAATTGCCAGTTAGGGAGAGCTTCAAGCTTTTGGAGGATGAGCATCCACAGTGACTCCATTATCCACACCCATTCTCTAAGGCTATAACTACAAAAAGCCAGGGGATGGGTGGATCAATGTGGTCTCCTGCCAGGTCCCACTCATGCCCATGTCCTCTCTGAAGGACAGCTAAGGATCCCTAGACTGTGGGTCAGCTGCTACCTCCAAGACAGCAGCTATGTGCTTTTAAGTGACACCCCTCATGGACAGATCACCTCCTCAGTGTTCCTTCTATTTTGGGTGTAGCTGTCAGTGTTCCTTCTATTTTGGGTGTAGTTGATTGGCCTATACTCTTATGATGCCCTGGGGTTCAGCTCTAAGAACAGGGACCCTGTGCCATCCTTGATCAAACCTCTCTGAGCGTCATCCTGCTGCTTTTCCACCCTGGTCCATGGGCCTTTCCCAGCTGGAGGTCCCAACTATGTTCCCACCCAGCACTCTGTGCACTAGCCATATGTCTGCCTGAGCCCACTCTGCTCTCCACCAAGAGGCTAGACTCCCTCACAACACTGGTCTCCCACTCAACCTCCCCTTCCCAAACAGATGGTTCTTGTCTCAGCGCTGAGTGTGCTAACCACTGCACACGCAGCAGCCTTCCTCCGTCATGTCCTTACACTCTTGCCTAACCATTGTTTTTGGTTGTGAGCCTAGCCTTTAATGGCTGAGCCATCTCTCCAGCCCATTGCCTAACCATTGTTACTTATGGTGCCTCCTGCCACAGAAAAGGCCTGGGAAATGAATCTGAAGTGTCAGCCTGCAAATGAGAAACTGAGTCTAGACAGCCTTTAAGCCGCAACTGGTGAGCAGTTTTAAGCTCCATCACACCCGCAAAAGTGACAGAAGGAAATGGGAACAATGGTCATTCTCAGAGGTAACCACACTAAGACAGCCTTGTAATTGTAGATGGGTTTGTTTTTAGACAGGGTCTAACGGTATGATGCAGGCTTCCCTGGACCTCAAGATCCTCCTGCCTCAGCCTCCTGAGTGCTGGTATTGCAGCACTTACCATCAGCCCAGCTGTGATTGATGTTTTAATTTACCCATTTGTCTTCTGGAGAAAAAAACTACCCTGTCTGCTCCCCAAAGAGAACAATTAGTATATTCTTTGCTGACATTTCTGTAAAAGCATGAATCAAAGACAGAAGTAAAAGGGGGAAAAAAAAAAAAAAAGTAAGGAGAAAACTTAGTACATTTTCCCTTTAATAATCTGATCTATAGGTTTTATTTCAGAGTAAGACAGTGATTTCAGGGTAAGTCTGAGGAAGCAGCTGCAGCAGGTAAGATGTGGAAAGCCCATAGGTTTGAAGCAAAATATGGTCGGGGTGTGTAGGGAATCTTGTCTCCACAACTACATCACTGCACTCTCCAGGAGTATTGTCCCTGCCACCTCTGAGAGATTCCCACAGAGCCAGAGACTTCTTCAGGTTTAACTCTTAAAATCGCCTTCAGGACCCCAGTGGGGTTCTGCTCAAGCACCTCCATTTGAGGGTTCTGACTGGCTCTAGCTATGTATTTTTGAAAGAAGAGTTGGCAGCTTTAAATTCAGGCACAGATCCACGTGTCTTCAGCTCACACCCTTGCTTCTACCATTTTAATCCACCTTGGAGGAGGGGGACGCTTGTGAGCATGTGTGAAGAGGCCCTCCATCCACTGCAAGAAGGGCTCTGCTGGACAAGTGCGCACGAGCTACCCACTACGGGCTAGTGCCCTATCTCTGCCCCCTCAAAACTCACCTCAGGAGCACTCAGGCTCCACCCGGCCCTGGGCCCCTCCTGCCCACCCTTTTCCCAGATAGTAGAAGGGCACGTCTCCAGCCTCTCTTTCCACTGTGGTCCCCGGGCCACCAAAAGGTAGCGACAAGTAAAGCGTCTGGGCCTGGGAGCCATGGCGCAGCCTCGGACTTTCTTAAACGCCAAAGGGGCTGGAAGCCAAGGCCCCTCCCTGGGCTGCGCCCGAAAACCGGGTAAGGCGGCCGGGTGGCCGGGAAGGGACTGTAGGGACCAGAGCCCGCAGCCACGCCGGGCCAGGCTTTGGGCGCACCGGGGGCGCATCATGCGCCCATGCCTGGGCCGGAGCGGGGGCGCCAAGCCCGCGAGTGGGCGGCCGGGCGCGGGTTGGAGTGGGCCGGGCTCGTGGCGGGCAGTTGGCGCGGGCCGTGCGCGAGGGCCCGGGGTCGGGCACCCAGGGCGGAGGCCAAGCCCGCGGCGGCGGAACCCGGCGGGCGCAGGGCGATCCCGGAGCGGCTCCGGAATCCAGCCGGGTTTTGACTCCGATCGCCCACGGCGCCCGCGACTGTAACAAAGAACAGACGGCGCGGCGGCCGGACCGGGGCGGGCGCGGGGGACGCGGGTGGAGGCCGGGCCGGGGCCGGGCGCGGGGCGCGGGGCGCGGCGGGAGGCACGCGGTGGGGCCACGGCGGGCCCGGGCCCGGGGCTTTACCTGCCTGTGGAATGTGCAGAGCGGGGTCGGATCCGGACTCCGGGTTGCGATCCGCTCCGGAAACTGCGCAGCACCGGAAGCCGGGGGGCGGTGGCGCGGCATCGTGGGAGTTGTAGTGCGCAGCGCGGGCTGACGGGGCGGGCCTAGAGCTTGGCTGCCTGAACCGGGAGCTGGGACAACCGGCTTCCTGGACAGGGAGTTAGGGATAACTGGCGGTGTAGTAGCGGAACCTGGGACGGACTGTGTGGAGTGGGAGCTAGTAGGGGTTTTGTGGACAGTGAGACTAGGAAACGGCTGCCTATACTGAAGAACCCTGGGACAGAGAAGCTTGGTTGCAGTGATGGAGGATGATTACCTTTCTGGCTGTGTGGATGGGGAACAGGATAGGGAATATTGGTGGCGCAGTCTATGAGGATCCAGGGGAAGGGACTGGGGAGAGGGGCTTGTGTTATTCATGAGAGCTGGCCAGACAGTGTGTGGACTGAAGAGCTCGGCACCCTGCACTTGTAGGTATGTCTGATGCCCGAACAAAATATGTTACCTACATTCCCTCCAGTACCTAACTCAGCCCTGGGCACTAGGTAAATGGGACAGAGTGGGTGAAAGTCAAGCTTCTGCATGGAGGGGTCACCACCCGATGCCCATCCTCATGCCAATGATGCTTTTGGTGGGAAGAAAGATGAGTGTATAGCAGCAGAGCCTGATAGATGGGGATGACCCATGGCAAGGAACCGTCCTTGTGGGCCCTTGGTGGCCTGAGTCTGCCCAGTCTAATAGAATAAGAATGATATTGGGAGTGAAGGTGTGCTTTCTAAAGTGACCAAGGGTAGCAGATATGGAGCAACCTGGTAAGGGAAGATGGGCTGGACTGCCAGGAACCCAGAATTCCTCTGGAGGTGCTAGCAGAGATCAGCCTGGACAGCTGGTAAATTGTGACAAGTATGGCCCTCTAGTCCTCTCTTGGGATGTAAGCACAAAAAGCAGACCTTGGCTTGAAAGGGCCTTCTATGGGCTCTTTAGGAGTATTTGAACACTCCATCCTCAGCTGATGCTGCTGTTTGGGAAGGCCATGGTACTTTAAGACAAAGGTTCCCAACCTTCCTACTGCTGCAATCCTTTAATACAGTCCCTCATGTTGCCATGACCCCCCAGCCATAAAATTATTTTTGTTACTACTTCGTAACTAACTTTGCTACCATTATGAATCATAATGTAAATATCTCTGTTTTCTAATGGTCACAGGCAACCCCTGCGAAAGGGTCATTAGACCCCCCAAAGGGGTTGTAACTCACAGGTTGAGGACTGCTTCTTTAAGAGGTACAGCCCTGATGAAGGAAGTACACCACTGGGCTTTCAGGGTGTATAGCCTTGCCCCATTTCTATTCGGATTTCTATGCGAATGAAAATGTGATCAACTAACTTCCTGTTCACTATGCTTCCCCTGACTGTTGCCATGCCTTCCTTGCCATAACAGACTCTAATCCCTCTGGAACAATGAGCCAGAATAAACCCTTTCTTCCCTAAATTGCTTTTTTTTTTTTTTTTGTTAGGTATTTTTATCACAGCAACAAAAGGTAACACATCTCCACAATAGATGCTGCCTTTGATGCAGAAAACGTATGGGGCTTGGCTCAAGAGCGACTCATTCTGAAGGGTAGATTACAATGGCTGGCTACCCCATATTCTGTCCCGTAGGCAAGCAGGCTGAGTGGGACCTGTGGTTGGTTCCCCTGGGGTTCCTCAGTGCAGCATATCTCCAAATACAATGCTTTTGTTTGTGGCTCATGGCAGGACAAACTGAAAGAGCCCACAGAAACTGAAGACCACAAAGGGGATGAGATGCTTGCAGCAGGAGGCTAGGCTGCCCTAATCCCAACACAGAAACCACTGGCAGAAGCAGGCATAAATGCTATCACAAACCCATGGCTAAGCTGTTACCTATTCCTTCTGCACTCATCTGAGACATCTGCTGGAGTGGGTCACTGATAGCAGGCACCCAGACTGATGAATGCTTCTCTGCCTCCACTCCTCAAACATGTAACCCACAGGCCATGCCAGGGGCACCCAGGCCAAGACAGACCTTGGCTTGTAGCACCCACAATTCATTGTTCCCAAGAAGGTCTGTGGGATTACTAAAATCCTACAGTAAATTTTAGCCCCAGCCTTGGTGGGGCTAAAATTTAGGCACGCAAAATATAGGAACTCGGGGAGGAAAGCCCATCGACAGGAATGAGGGTCAAAGAAGGTATCAGTACATATTTTTGGTCATCTGGCTGCAATGGCCAGTCATACAAAGGAACAAAAGTTAGCAGTAAATCAAACATAAGAGAAGCCCCGGTACTCAGGACAACCCAGGACTTGGAAAGAACTCAGCTCAATGTTTTCCATGAGCGCATTTATTTCTTGAGAGGTCAGTAAAGTTGCAGCCATGTCTTGCTGCCTAGGGTGGTGCAGGATGACACCCACGTCTAAAGTACTGCAACAAATACAATCATTGTCACAGATGCCAGTTGCCACACACCAGCATCAGGCTCACCACACACCTGGGAAACCTTTACTTTATTCTCTTTGCAGGAGAGGTTTGACATGACTGGGCAGAGAATCAGGCTTACAGCCCTGGGGATAATCACATCTCCACTCCACCATCAGCAAAGAGACCCAGGCAGCTTGGTGACTCCAATACTTATACACGTAACAGGGACATTTTGCATAAAGGGCTTGTACTGACGGTTTGAGCAGGGCCTTTTTCCCCATGCAGGTGCTTTGGTCCTCAGGGCTTAGACGTTGGGTTGATACCCACACTTGTTTCTGTGTGACAGAGACATGCTTTACCTTCCACCATCTATCAGCTTGTACTTTGAAAGTTGAAGATTGAGACAGGTGTTGGTGGCACATGCCTTTAGTCCGAGCACTCAGGAGGCACAGGCAGGTGAATCTCTGTGAGTTCAAGGCCAGCCTAGTCTACAGAGCTAGTTCCAGGACAGGCTCCAAAACAATCCAGAGAAGCCATGTCTCAAAAAACAAACAAACAAAACAAAAAAGACAGCCCTGAGCTTATTAACCAAAAACACCACTTTGGGTGGCAGCAGTGTAAATTAATCTTTCCCTTTCTGCTTGAGAACATTTGCAATTCTTTTCTGTAAACGAGGCCAGCAAAAATCTGATTTGGAACTGGTCAGCAGTAAATGGTCTGCTTCCTTCCACAGCCAGGAAGCAGGGCTGGTTTTGAACTTAAACTAAAATTTAAAATAAAGTGCTTTGTCTAAATCCTCTTGCTCATAGCAGGTTTTCAGCCAAAGCAAGGGAGCCCTGGTTTTGTTACTGCTACACCAACCTCACACACAAACAACGCTCTGTAGTTCCTGCATGAAGGATGGGGGAGTATGGCCAGCTCTCTCCAGCCAACCTGAGATCTGCTTCTAGATTCATAGACACCTGAATTAGTGTTTATGAGGAACTGTTTTAAAACTAGTACTCTACCAAAATTTCAAGACAGAAACCGAAGCCACAAACGAATGCAGTGGAATAGTGTAACAGGTGACTTACATACGCACACTGTTGGCACCTGGTGCACAATCTTAATGATGTTCGTTTCAACATAATTACCCTATACCATGAAGAAACAGAAGTGGATAAACAGCTTGGAGAAGAGACTTCACAGTACAAGGAAGGCCCTGAGGGCACTTGTGTGTGTGTGTGTGTGTGTGTGTGTGTCGTCCCCCCCCCCCCATCTCTGTACTCTCTGCTGTGATGGCGTTCTCAATTTGCAAAGGCTGCTCAATGGAACCCGTAAAGGATAGGTTTTAGATGTGGGTAGGAAGCCAGGAGCAGGGTGCTCATAGGGTCATTTGGAGGCTAGGATGGCTAAAAGCCATTTGTTCTTTTTTGTTGTAACTGCTGAAAGAGAGGAAGTATAACCTAAAATTCTGATGCCTTCACGCTTGAATAAACTGAACATAAATGTCAAAACCAATCAAACCAACAAAACCTGCATAAGCTGAGCATTCCCTGACCCAAAAGTCTGAAACCTAAAACTCTTGTCTGTACCATTGTGTTTTATATTTCGGAAATTTTTATATTCAGAGACGCTCAGATGGTAAAGACCAAGATATTCCCAGAACCAAAATGTGTCTGGAACACTTCTGGCCCCAAGCATGTTAGTTGAGTGCTACTGCCCCACACTGAAGATATAGCATCAGAATCTCTGACACACCACAGTCTCTGGGAATCTAAAGCTATTTGTCACAATTTTGCACACTGTGTGGAATAACAACACTTCAAGTAAAGCACAACATTTAAATCATGTCCATTCTCAAGAAGAGTAGTAGGGATGACTGGCTTTGAGAAGAACTTTGGTATTGATGGATCTGTTCTGGAACTTTGCTGTGACTTAACATGAGGTGATCTGTAAAGACAACCCATGCTGAAACATCTCTTCAAAGTCACCTGAAAACTACCTGGAATTCTTCCAGGTTCTTTTTCTTCTATATCTGTTGTTGTTTTGAGAAGGGGTCTCATGTAGCCCTGGCTGGCTTGGAAGCTAACATCCTCCTTTCTCCATCTTCTAAGTGCTGGGGTCACAGGCCTGCAGCACCACACCCATCAAGAATTTTCAAATTCTTATTTATTCTATGTTTATTTGAAACTAAAATTCACCGGGGCCCAGTGGCTCGGGCCTGTACTCCCAGCTTGAGAGATGAAGGCAGGAGATCAGAGTTTCAAGGTATAATTGGGCTACAAAATGAATTACAGGGCAGCCCAGTCAATACCTTAGTGAGACCCAACTCAATAATAATAATAAAGTGAAAAGAGGCCCAGAGAAATAGTTCAAAGGAGAAGGGCCTGTCCATCATGCACAGAGCCACAAGTTTAATCCCCATAATGGAGTAAATGAACCAAGAAAAAGGATTCTCAGTGTGGGTTTCCAATCTCTCTTGCTAAAACAGGAAAAAAATTAAAAAATAAAAACATTCCTATAATTTTGGCTTTCATTGACATTTTTGGTCAAAAATTGTGACTTTGCCCCTGATATTCCTAATGAATAAAACGGGCCAGAAGGAGTTCCCTCACTTCATATCAGTGACAACTCAGATCTTCCTGTCAGCCTTCACATTGTTACGGGGAAGAAAATGGACCTTATTGACAGGTCAAGAGATAACACCCCACCCCAACAACAGTGACTCTGGAGGGCTGTGAGACAAGAATGGCACCTAGGGTACAGGGGGACACTGAACCCCGGTGCCAACTATATAACTTTCCCACAGTAAGCCAAAACCAGGGTACCCCAAGATGTGGCCAGAAGTTCCTGTTCACAGTAGAATTCTGAAGATCCCATAAAAAGATCCTGCAAGTTTGGCCCATTGTTATGAAACTTGTATGCCTGAGACTAATTGGCACCTGGGATACAGAATAAATTTCTCAGTTGCCCTAAAAGTTCTTTGTTTTAGATGTTGGCTATATTTGGCAAGAACCATGTATGTGTGGCCATGTCCTAGAAGCTGTCACTCATTGCTCCCAAAGTCAGCCTCAGCATATATAGAGCTGCTGGCATGAGAAGCAAACAAACAAAAAACATATGTGAATTTCTATTTGCAAGAAAGGTCAAGTAAATCTGGAAGTGTCTGGCATAATCTGCATAAGACACATTTAGTGTTTGCATAAGTTTTTAACTTCTATGGCTAATATCAGAGACGAACACCTTCTCACACTTGTCAAAGCACATCCTTTTCCTATTACAATTTCTTCATGGCTCAAAAATCCTATATCCATACCCCTGTCCCCAGCCTCAGATGCACTATTTAATTCTAAACAGCAAGATATGTGAGGTGGTCTATCCTGCTCATAGCAACAGCCCGCATGCCATGGTCCAGACACAAACCCCAATAGTCCCTGAAGGAGAGAGGAAAAAGTGGTCTGGATCCTTCCTGCCTTTTATCCTCAATCTTTCAGAGCACATGTGGCTTTACTGATGTGTCCATCTTATAGTTCACCTCAACACTTCCTGTGACAGCCGGAGCCAGGTGTTCCCACTGAGTATCTGGAGGCAAACAGGACTGCTGTACCAGTAATCTTCTGGGAAGCCTCCTGGCCAAACAGGCAGATTGCCTTTTCCCTTTAACAAACAAGATTATCAGGAAAAAAAACAAGCTAGACAATGCACGAATCTGATTTCACTGGTTCCACTGTTCTGGTGGGGGCCTTTGTGGTCCCATCCTCCAGCTTTGAGGACTGGGGTGACTCAAGCTATGTGCAGGGATCTCTGGATGCTTCATTCACGGTGTGTTTGCCTCTGTGCCTGGGAAGCAACTTCTTGTTCAAGAGCCTGCTGAGAGTTGCCCCCTTCTTCAGCTTCCCCTCGGGCTGTTGCAGGAATACCAGATCGTTATGTGACTGGCTCATGCCTGGGTCTTTCTGCTGGTGTCGCCGACGGAAGAAGAGCTTGGCGCTTTTCCTTAGCATTCCTTCTGCAAGAGGGGAGCACAGGAGTGGTCAGGGCTGTGGGAGGATGAGCCCAGGCCAAGAAGGAAGCAAAGCTGTCAGACACCTGTGACAAGAAGCCAGGCAGCTCTCTCAAGAAATAACCACTGCCCAGAGAGCAGAGCTGGTGGGAGCCGCTTTTCAAAGTGAAAGTAAGAACCTTCCAACAGCAGGACTGGCAAGCCTGCACTATTGAGTGGGTAGGTTGGGGTTCCTTATCACCCCTCCCCTTTATTAGGACCTCTGTGATAAGCAAGGCTATGCTGTATGCCCAGGAATGAAGATCATGCTCCTAACAGCAAGCTTAGAGCCCTGTAAATCATGGGGCTCCTGTTTTTAATACAGTATTGCCCTTTGAGGAATAAAGTTTACTTTTAAAATTAATTCTAGGTCATTCTCTTCACTTACATTAGGATATTATATCTATTTTATCTACCAGTCTATTCATCTACTCACCCATTCACCCATACTAGGCTAAGCCATATAAAATATGTTAGTGGATCATTTTCAACCCAGAAAGCCTCATGTTGGGCTGGGAATGTAGTTCAGTGTAGTAAAGTACTTGCCAAGCATACACAAGGTCCTGGGTTCAATTACCAGCACACATATGCCCAACAATGAAAATAATAAAAACAAAGAAAGAAAAAAGGTGGGCAAGACAAAATGAAAAGAAGCCCTTGATTTTGTATCTTGGTACAGATGCCAAGTATGGCGTTACGGAACAGAAAACAAAGAGCGGTAGCACTTGGGGTGAAGATGGCACCTGAAAGTCAAGTGCAGACTAGAAGCAGCTCAGCATCACTTTTTCTTTTCTTTTCTTTTCTTTCCTTTTCTTTTCTTCTCTTTTCTTTTCTTTCCTTTTTATCAATTAGTTTAGCATCCTATTCACCCAGGCCCAGCAAGGGCAGGGGCAGTGCCAGGCTAGCCCGTGAAGTTTACTACTATATGCCTAAAGGGGTTGTGTTAAAAAGAAGAGAAGCCTGGCCATGGAGCCAGGGAGATCTGTCCTGAATTTGAAGGTTTGGCATGTGAGCCACAGCCTGGTGTTGCCACGGGTGGGAGGCATTGTTCCTAGAGGGGAGTCCTGTCTCTGAGCAAGAGGCCAACTACCAATTAGTGTTTGGATGACTGGAGCTGGCTTATGTGTGAACACAAAGACACTCATGTGGGTAATTTTGTCACATCAAAAGCATCAGCTGGGCAGAGGACTAAGCTCTAGGCATGGGTACTCCTGGCTTCAAGGGGGTTCTAAGCCCTTAGGTTACCTGGGCTAGAGGTGGGGAAGGAGGGTCTGTGAAGATTTCAGACCTACAAGTACCTCCTGGGTTCTGTTCTAGGTAGCTGTGGAGTTCCCAAAGAGCACAAACAGGTGGGACACTCACATGTGAAATAGAGGAGATTGGAGGGTAAGTGGAAGCCTGAGAAAGGGAACATAATAATCCATGCCCTGGGCCAACTGTAGACCCGAGAACCCTTGTGATAGGAAGGGCCTACTTGTTCCTGAACTGAAGCTTGGCATGGGGTGGGGAATGTATTTTGGGTCAGGATAAGAAGAGCACTGGCTGCTCTTCCAGAGGTCCTGAGTTCAATTCCTAGCACCCACATGGGCTCACAACTGTCTGTGATGAGATCTGGTGCCCTCTTCTGGTGTCCAGGCAGACATATAGGCAAAACATTGTATACATAATAAACAAAAAACTGTTTGAATATAACCACCCTGTGCCTGTCTTCATGGTCTGACTTCCTACATTAACCCTGGGCTAATCTATGCATGTCCCTTGTGACCAAGGCACCTGTGTTGTTTTAATTTCTTTTCCTGTTGTTGTGATGAAGTGCTCTGATTAAAGCAATGTAGCCAGTGCTCTTTTTAACCTCTGAGCCATCTCTCTAGCCACAAACAGTTTCAAAAGGCGATTTTCACACTTCTTGGCCATCATTACAAGTTGACCAACAGAAATTGCAGCATGGATGCCTAAAGTCAAATTCCTGCCCTGAAGTGTCAAACACTTTCAACCAAATTAGAAGACTGATAGAGTTGAAAATCTTAAAGTCTTATTGTTTCTCAGCTGTTTGTCTAAGATCAACTGCAGAAATATTTATAAGGGAGAAAAAAAAAAAGGTTTTAAGCGTCCATTTGTGATGACCTGTACAAATGTTCAAGGTTTAAACTATCAGTTTAGCAGCACCAACCATTCAGCAGGCCTGAACCTGTTCTCAGGTACCACACCATGCGGTGGCCTACAGCAAGGTTGTTTCCTGTTCTTCCAGCCTCCCTCATGATCTCTGCAGCCCATCTACAAGTTTGTTGAACTTCATTTTACACCATCAGTCAGAAATGGATGCTATCTTATGTACCCACACGGCAATCTCCCTGCACTGGTTTGTAAGATCTTCTTGGAAATTATGGCTTCTAGGGGATAACATGGGCTTTACTTTGAAGGGAATTCCTTTGATGCGGTTGCTGAGATTGTTTCAGCAGGCTTGCACTCCTGAGTCTGGGGGAACCCTCACTAAAAAACGAGGACGTCAGAGATGGGGAAGTGCCTACTTAGGTCACATGATGACATATGTGCGGCCCCAGGGTGATTGGCTCCTAAAGCCAGTGTTCCAGATCTAGCTTTTCTGTGCTGCCAGGGAAAGGGTTTGGCCTTGAATGTCAATGGGACCCACCCATGAGAAGTGGGTTCCAGGTGCCTGGAGCAGTGGGTGCCTCATGGTCTCAGGGAGGGGCATACAGACAGGGTGGACAGATCAAGGCACTGGCATGGTCTTTGGCAGGATTCCACAAGAATTTCATCTCCAGAGAAGGATACCAGGATGTGGGAGGATGAGACATTCCAATGAGGAAAGTTCACTTGTACCTGTGAGTAACTCAAATAAATGAACCCTTCTCTCTGTGTTCTCTCTTGTAGGGACTTGAGAGAGGTCTAGACCCTCTCTCCGGTAAGATAAGACCACATGGAAACATGTAGATTAATAGACATGGGTTAATATTTAAGACAGAGCTAGCCAATAAGAAACACTAGCAACAGGCCAACAGCTTTATATCTAATACAGCGTCTCTGTGTGTTATTTGGGGGCTAACACAGCTGTGGGACCAGGCTGTCAGAAAAACTGCCAGTAACAAAATTTAAGTCTAAGGACAGGTTACTGGGGAAAAGAGTTTCTATTTTGTTTCCACGGAAAATGAAAAGCTATGTATTCCTTCCAGACTAACATGGTTTGATCAAGCAAGACCACCCCCCACAAACAGTGACCCAGGTGATCCAACATTCAAAACAGCTGGGACAAGGCAGCCTTGCAGACCACTACAGCCAGGATTTCTGTATCTTCTTAGGATTCCCATGACAGTGCCTTCTACCAGCAAAAAGCAGTTTGGAAAGAACGATACCCAAATTCCCAAATATTATCTATAAATGTTTGTTTTCATTTAAATGGGATTGGTTATAAATGGCTAATAATCACAACCAATTTCTTTTTAAAGGTAAAAAGGGGATTATGGCATAGAAATGAATACTTTGATACAGATTTAATGTCAATTTTGTGACATGTATATTTCTCCTCTTGCTTAGGTACTGTGCTTATATAGCTCATTTTAAAATGCAATGTATAATTTAGTACAGATTATAGATACTTACCTATAATAGTCAAAACTTATAATTATGTTAGTTAGGTTTTCTAGATATACAGATATATATTTCAAATGGATACGTATTCTTCAAACCTTTCAAAGACCTATGAATATGACATTTAAAATGTTTCAGGGTTTTTCTTAACAGTGAGACATAACTGCTCCTGACAACACCACCTGCATCAGAAAGGAAGATGGACATCAAAGAAACTCGTTATGGAGATTTACTTCCAATACAGCAAGACTAGCCTTTTGAGCAAGAAACCACTCTTATCTGGACTGTTTGGCTTTATTCTGTATAAACTGGACATGCAGAACCCCAGAAAAGTGACTTCTAAAACAAGATGGGCATTGCTGTAGGGTTCCTGCTTCATGGAAGAGTCTGCCAGATATTCTATAGGACACAGATAAAAGTGAATGACAAACTGCCAATACAGATGGACAGTTTAAAGTTTCCTGCTTTGCTGAGAAGTCTGCCAGACACACTATGGCCTATAGGCTGAAGATGGAACATTACAGAAGAACTTCGGGTGACTGACCAGGTAACAAGATGTCTCTGTCATTTCTAGAGTTTATATATTATCCTCCTGTGGTCTTTAAGGGAGTTGAAGACAGGCAGTTATGGTTATGGTTTTCCTTAGTTAGGATTAAAGATAAGTTACATATAAAACTTTAGACTCACAAAGATAGGATAGATGATGTATTATTTTCTTTAAATCTTGCTAAATATTAATGGACTAAATATTGTTAATATATAATATAAATAATATAAATGAGCTATATAAACACAACTAAACAAGAGAAGAAATATACATATCACAAAATTGACCTTAAAGTGTATCAATAAATGAAAATCCATTTTAAAGCAAAGTATTTATATCTACACCAAAAATCCTTCAGTGTTTAAGGAGACATCAGCATTGACTGTCCTGGTTTGACTTTCACTCATTGTTTTCAAACTTTCATTTGATGTCATGTGAAATCTGATGCAAATCACATAATTTTTAAGTATGGATCTGGCACTAGGGAACATTCTCTCCCTGGTCTTAGTCTTCCCTTTAAAAACATCCCCAAGAAGACTGACGCATGAATAAACACACAGAGGAATTTGAAAATTATTCTCAATTTTAGCTCTGCTGTCACATTTCTAAATTTATCCTGTTTATTTCTGTGGAAGGACAGATATAAATAGCCAATGGAAGAATCTGTATCAAAATCTACATGTAGGAAGACAATGGCCCTAGCAACCTGGAAACTCATGCTCTGATGTCCAAAAGTGTCTTCAGACAGGTCATGCATACAAGAGACAACTTGAGAGACAGGAAACCAATAAAGGAAACCCAGTCAGGCTGCCCAGGTGATACCTTGCAGAAGCCATCTCAGCAAGGTAACTTTGTAGCATCAGAGGACAGAGGAAATGTCCTGTCTGATGGTTGATGAAGGTAACAATCTACCTAGAAGCCAGGAACAACCAACCACAGGGAAGGTCAGGCCAGCAAGCAAGGAGAAGTCAGTGGGCAACCTTCACTCTGCTGAGTACTCTCCACATAAGCAATGTCACAGAATTTTTTAAAAAGGCAAGATGAAAAATAACTTACTGTGCAGGTAATTAGTGATCCTCTTAAGTTAAATGGAATGAGCACAGAATGCAGAGATGTTGAGAGGCAAAAAGAAAAGCACAGGAGAGCAGAGTCAGAATGAAAGTTAGAGTTTGGAATCATTGTATCACAGTGCACACATATGCTCACACACTTGCACACATGTGCATTCACATGCATACATGAGTACACTCATGCACACACATGCTCACACTTGTAAACATGCATACACATGCACACCAAAGCACAGACATACACATACTTACACACACATATACACACATATGTAAACACGGACAGTCATGCTCACACTTGTACATGCATGTACATATATATGCATTTTTGAGCACACATACGTGTGCACATGAAAGGTTGCTGTCCAAGATATTTTGCAACATTTCTATTTTTTCTCAAACCTCTCTAGGGGCCTTTGTGATGAACACAGATAGGGTAAAATTTACCACCCAGACCTAGATGCACAGTTCCAGTGGGTTTATCACACAACTGCAACAGCACTTTTTTTCTCAAGTGCTAGGAACAAACCCAGGACCTCACACATGCTACACAAAACACTCCACCACTGAGCTACATTCCTAGTCCTGCCAACACTTTTTGAACTTCAAATAAATTGAATTTTGGGAATCAATTTTCTGTTTTGGCTGAAGTATCATATAAATTCCTAGTCAGCAAGAGTCCAGGAGAATTCCAGTTCCATGGGCTCCCTCCAAAGCCTACAACACCCTACTCACTTATACCAAAAGATGCAGGTGGTGCAAGTTATGTATAAACCTTAGTTTAAAACCAAACACGGGGCTGGAGAGGTGGCTATGAGATTAAGAGCACTAGATGCCCTTCTAGAGGACCCAGGTTCCATTCACAGCACCCACATGGTGGCTCACAACCACATATAATTCCCATTCCAGGGAACGGGACACAGTCTTTTAGCCTCCGCAGGCACCAGGCATGCAAGTGGTGCCCAGATATACATGCACGCAAAACATTCATACACATTAATTAAAAACAAAAACAAACAACTGATCCCCACAAAACCAATCCCTGTAGCACCAGTTATGAATAAACAAAAAGCGGCAGGAAATGAAAATGGTTTGACAATCAATTTCGACCTATTTAAGATTCTGCCAACATCTCAAGTACTAAGCTTCTAGAAACTGCAGGATAAAAACTAAGTGTGTGTGTGTGTGTGTGTGTGTGTGTGTGTGTGTGTGTGTGTGCGCGCGTGCATGTGCATGTGGGTTATTGCAGGTGTATTCACCTGTACATCTGTGTGGAGTTTAGAGGTTAATATGAGGTGTCTTCCTCTATTTTTCTCCACCACAGTTTTTGAAAGAATACCCCACTGAACCTGCAGCTCACCAACTAGCTAGTCTGGCTAGAGAGAGCTCTAGGGATCCTTATGTGTTAGTCTCCCAGTAGTACCAGGATTACAGATATATGCTTTTGCATGGGTGCTGGGGATCTGAACTTGGTTCTTCATGCTTGCACAGTAAAAACTTTACTACTGAGCATCTCCCTAGCCATATAAATGCATGCATGCGTGCATGCATGCATGCATACATACATACATACATACATACATACATACAATTTTCCCTAAAACATGGTCTCACCATTTAGTTCTGGCTGGCCTAGAATTCACCATGTACACCAGACTAGCCTTAAATCCCTGCCTCTGCCTCCCAAGTGCTGGGACTAAAGGATGTGCTACCCATGCCTGAGCCCTACAAAATAACGTTTAAGATGTTGCCAAATATTTTATTTCAGAAAACTTTAGGTCAAGGCATTTCAAGGACTTGATGGCAGGTTCAACCTCAGCTCCCAGGGAATCCAGGAATGAAACACATGACCAGTCAAACATGCCTGGACCTCCCCCGATGCCCAGCCTCTGGGGAAGCTCTCATGCATAGAGGCTACTTCCAGCCCCCAGAGGATTCCCAAGAGGCATACATCTGTCTGGCCAGTGAGTGGAGAAGGATGTAGGTGCATAGCAAGAAGGTACCCCAAGGAAGGCCAAAGCTAGCAGGAGCAGAAAAGACTAGAAGAAAGGAAAGCAGCAGTGGATGCATACACAGGGGTAGTAACCTGGCATCTCTGAGAAACCTGGAGGACATAGAGGGAGGTTTGGGTTCCGTAAGGTCATGAGTGTATAGACTATTGACTCAAAGAAGTGGAGCACAGGATATACCCTTGTTCCTCCCTGCTCACTGACTTTCCCCAGAAACTTCCCAGAGGCTTCTTTGATCTCAGGGCAAAGACTAGGTCAGAATGTGTACATAGGGTAATCAGTAGCCAGTCCACCTGATGCCCTTGGCCACAGCACACCAAGAGAAGATACAGGGTTGAAGGTCCTCAAGGCCAGGTTGTGGGAAACAGAGGCTGGGTGGTATGAAATCTTCCCCCAGGAACACCCTCTTTCTCTATTTCCTCTTTTAATGTGCAATTCCTCCCCCCATCTGTTCCTGCTTGGTACTGGCAAAGGGTACAAGTCACAGGCAACCAGCTAACCAACAACGGTTAAAGGATGAGGAGAGGAAGAGTAGAGCACCCGGGACAGGTTCTTAACCTCAGCACCTGGAACTTGTGTTGCACTGTGTGGAGGTGTCTGTGCCATGTTCCCTAAAGAGTGTGGTACCTGTGTCCTCTACCCCCTAGGGGTCACCAGTACCCCATTTTCTGGTTGTGACACCACAGCTGTCTGCAGACATTACCTATGTCCTCCATGAGGCAAAACCGCCTAGCAGGAGACCCCACCTGTCCCTAGCGGAAGTGGCTGGCTAGGATTCCTAACACCTGGGGTAGCTAAGCTTTTTGCCCAGTGCATTCCAAGAGGGTCCTAAGAACTTTGCTGGAGGGAAATGGGCTTGGAGCCACAGATATAAGGCAGAGCTAGAAGTGCATACTGAGTTCCACCACAGCTCCTGGTTTGACTGAGGTGCCTCCCTCAGCCCTCACTTTTCGAGAATGTGGGTAGTTAGGATGGTCTCCAGGTCTTGGAGGTGAGGCCCAGTGAGTTTGAAGTCTCTAAGACCTAGAGATCTTCCCAAAGATGAGACAAAGGTCTGGATCCAAGTGTCCACACCCAAGAAATGCCAGGCTCTGAAATAAGGGCTCATTTCTTGCAGGAAAGAAGTGATTGTGCTAACAAATTACTTCATTACTATGTGTGTATCAAGCCAGTAAGCAGTTACTCTGGGGTTTTCTTTCTTTGTAGATCCTGCTGATTCCAAGTGGTGAGGTCTGGTTTTGTTCTAGCTGGAGGAGGAAACTGCAAGGAGCAAATAAGGTGAGCTGCCAATCTCTGCTCACTTTGCTCTGTCCCTGGACACAATGGCACCTAACTCTTTGTGAAGCCTTGGAAAGCTCTGCTTCCAGATGGAGAGAGCCAGACAGGGGGGATGCTTGGAGGTATGAAAACACAATGGCCCCCAGATGAAGAGATGAAGCCCCGGGGGGGGGGGATGAAGCCAGGACAGCCTCAGAGATTGTAAAAGGAAGGGAGGCCAGCAAGGGAGCAATGACACAGAGAGGGAAGCCTAAGTGCAGGCTGGAGGTGGGGAGGGGGCAGGTGTTGAGAACATGTACCTTTATGCTTCTTGATGGCTCCAAGACCGGAAGCACTCAAGGAGCTCTCTGACAGTTCATCCCCATCTGGTTCCTGTAAGGCTGAAATGCTCCATGTTGCTGCTGGGGATTCCTTTTCCAGGTCCCAGGAGTCTATATCATTCTCTCTAGGCTTGAGGGCAGGTAGGGCCTGGGCTGGCTCATCTTCTTCAGGTGGAGTGGTAGAATAGGCTGCATCTGCCTCTGGCGAGCACAGAGTGGGCGGGGCATCCCCCTGGTTGGTGCTGTCCATAGAAGCTGCATAGTCCAGCATGAGAGCAGCATTGTGGTCCTGAGACAGTGAGGTCTGTCAGGGGAGATGTACAACAGAGGCTGAGGACAAATGAGAAATCAGCCCAGGGATCTAACAAGAGCACATGGTTGGCAGGGAAGGCTTGACACCACCTGAATATCACCTTCCAAGGCATTGTGACTAGAAATATCAAGCAGTAGCCCCAAGAAGGCTCCTATGCTATATGGTAAATGCTTATAAAACAGGTTTCCATCTTAGCTGAGACTCTGGAGGGCACAGGCTGAGGGTGCTGGAGAAGAGCTCATACACTTCTCACTGCAGACCTATCAGTAAGGAAGCCCCCAGAAGATGAGTGTCAAGGACTAGCACTTTTTTCCAAGTAGACAAAGTATACAGCAGCAAAAAAAGCATGAACTTGGGCATATTTAGTCTTTTACACATTTGTTATCAAGCACTTCTCTTTCTATCTCAAAGTAGAGATCAACTAGAAGATGATGTGTTCTTTTAAGAACTGTATTTGTATGTAAAGTTATAGCACTAAACTAACAGGTAATGGGGAAAGCTGGGACAATGGTTCAAACTGAATGACTGGAAGGGGCAGCAGCCATGCTGTTCTCAACCTGGGTGGCAATCGCACAAGTGGCTTTGCTAAGTGACAGTTGACAGATGAACCAACTTACAGAGTGCATGATGACTACCAATACAACAGTCTGCATGCCAACAAAATTAATAATCAAAGTGTCCTATGAGTATTAAATATGAAGATTATCTGATGATTATGAAGCAAAGCCAGAAAGTAGAGAGCAGATGATCATGGGTTATCTTCATCTTATTATCTAACCCAGACTTAATAAAAGCTCTCACTGTTTGGCCTTGTTGGCCCCAGAAATCTGACCCTCACACCCTGGTAGCTGAAGAAGCCAACCCAAGAAAAGATAACCCCCTGCCTTGGTGTTCAAGGCCACCCATGAACATTCTCTTGGAGTCCTGGGCTCAGGCTACCTACATATTGTGTATATCACCATGGTACCCGACAGCAACTGAGTAATTCCCAGTATGCTTTCCTTCCTACTCTTAATGGCCTTGCAAGTTCCAACCCATCCTCCCTAGTCATGGCTACAACTATGTAATCTGTCACTTACTGCAGCGCTCTTTACATTTACATTGCCCCTTGCAATGCAGGTAAAGATCTAACCTGCTCTGTACTCTGTGGCTGCAATCAGAGGCAGTGCCCACCTACCTTCTGCTCCCCAAAAGTTACTTTAGAGTGGAAGAGCAGGGGGACTGAACTGAAATGTTCCATAGAACGATCCCTATTTCTATCAGTAATGGAAAGGAATACACATACTTATTGTAAAATATTTCAATGTTTTAGAAATGAGTAATGTGGAAAAAGTGAACTTGGGAGGCAGCGAGATGGAGCCTGCATCACTGGGGGTTTCTTACATGTGCCTTTCTTTCTCTCTTAGTAATATTTCCAGAAATGACTTACCAAGCTCTCAAGCCTCAGAGCATCACTAAGCAGACAGCTGCCAGCTTCCTGTATCAACAGGACAAAGGGCTACTGTGGTCCCAAAGATAACTGACTCTCTGGCAGGAAGGAACTACATTAGACTCTGTAGAGGGGACCTTTTTGGATGGATGAGAGACCAGGATGCTGTGCTGATAGACTTTGCCTCCTGCTGCTGCCTTCACCTACCTTGGAGATCCCTGAAATGATGATGGTGCTTTTCTTCCGTGGAGACTTGAGCTTCAGCTTTGAGGATTCACTGAGCTGCCGAATGGCAACTTCAGCCACAGGATCTGAGCCATTCAGCACCAGTAGTTCTGCCAGGAGGAAGGTAGCACTGAGTTCAGTAGCAAAATTAAAAGGCTCCCAGGGAACTCCCAGAGCAGCGGGCAGGAATGGTCTGTAAGCAGTGGCTGGCAAACACTTTGAAGAAAGAGGGATAAAGTAAGGGGTTTTGCAACTAATCTCACAGAGTAGAATTAGCCAGAAGCCACATGTAAATTAATAGGCAAGGCCTGATTCCAGTAAAATTTTATTTTCAAAAACAAGGGAGGGTCACCGTTGCTTACAACTTCGCTCCCCGTAGTTCTGAGCTAATTCTTGATGTGACTTTAAAACTCTTGTGTTTTACTATTTATAAGTTGATGGCTTTATCAAGAAGCGATTAAAGTGGCAAAAGGCAGCAGACAAAAACAAATCAACTGTAGGTAGATGAGATGGTACATACAATGAGTAGAGGCACCATGCCTAATGCTCTAACTTGAATTTGATCCCTGGGACCCACTGGGGAAGGAAAGAGCAGAGTCTTACACATGCATGCAGTAACACACACACACACACACACCAGAAAGAAAGTAAAAGAAAGAAGAAAATCTTTAAACATTGGGAAAAATTTGACCTCACAAAGGCACATATTCTTTCTTCCTCCCAAAAGTACCTGACACACAACAGTAATCAGAAGCAGCTAATAAAAGCAACTGAGAGCTGGTCCTTCCTATGTCATAAATGTACCCAGTACTGCTGACAGAGCCTGCATGTTTTATGTCATTTGTTCACTTCATGAGGCTAGTTCGTCTGTCCTTCCTTCCTTCCTTCCTTCCTTCCTTCCTTCCTTCCTTCCTTCCTTCCTTCCCTTTCTTGTTTTCTTTATTTTTAAAAAAAAAAATCTTCACTTGACAAGTAGAAAGATGCCGGGCCATCAGGCAGATGGCTGAGTAGAGATGCTTAGTGACATCTCTCCCTCAGAGAACTTGTACTCATAATTTGTACTGTTCTGCTAAGGCAAAATTAAACATGACAAAGAGGGATGGTGGTGTAGCTCAATGATAGAGCACTTGCATAGTATGTACAATGCCCTGGGTTTGATTTCCAGGGTTGCAAAAGCAAACGGAGGAATAAGGACAACGAAACTGTTTTAGGAGTGCCCATGGCTGCAGGTCACAAGGGCTGGTTTCCACACACTGGCCTTTCCCAATGCCTGACACAAGTCCCAAAAACTTGATATTTTCTGTGATGCGGTGAAGGGAATATTTTTTTTTTTTGTTATTTATGATAAACCTCATTTGTGGTATATACATGTGTTTGTGTGTATGCATGCATTATGTATGTGTTCATTCATTTCTGTGCACATGTGTAGGGGCCAGAGGTTGACATTGGGTCTCTTCTTACCAGTTCTCCATCTTGTTTTTTGAGACAGAGTCTTTCATTGAATCTGGAGCTGGCCAACTAGTTCAAACTGACTGCCAGCAAGCCCCAGGGACCCCTTTGTCTCCACCTCTCCAGAGCTGGGCTTATAGGCCTGCTCGGCCACTCCCCATTTTTTAAGCGGATGCTGGAGACCAAATTCAGATCCCCATACTAACTTATAGAAAGGAAGATGTTTCTTCAAGATTATGATTACATGAAAACATTCCTAAAACTGGAGAATTGATACGGATATGGCTTGAATATGAAATGTCCCCCACAAGCCAGTGGGTTAGATGGCCTACTCCCCAGATGAGGGTGCTACACTAATATTTTTAGGGATGGAATCTGGCTGCCCTTGAAGAGTATAGCTCAGGCCTTGGTCCCAGAACTCCCTCTCTGCTTCCTGGTTGGTCATGATGTGAGTAGGCTGTATTATACACTCTGGTTAACATGAATTTACTCTTGAAACAGTGAATCCAAACAAACTTTTCCTCCCTTACACATTTCAGCCAGGTCCCTTGGTCACAGTGATACAAAATATACAAAATAATCAAGAAAATTGGTGCAGGAGGAGTGGGGTTGTTGCTTCTGTGAAACCTGGATATGTGGTTCTGGGGCCCTGGGATACAGCTTGTGGGAAGAACATGAGAGAATTTGAATATGTGGACTAGAAAAATCCCTCAAGAAGCCCTAGAGGCCCCCAAATGACACGGGATATTCGCATTGTTCTTGCTGCCATAACTAAAAGGCAAGATCTATTGCTGAAGACACCACACACTTGTTCGGGACACAGAGAAATCTGGAACTGACCTGAAAACTTCCTCCCTGCTGGTAGGTGCTATGCAGGCTGCTGGAGGAGAAAAAGAATCAATGGGCTTACCCAGCAGTAGACCCTGCATTCCATGATAATGACCTGACAGGCAAGATGTATCTACTAGCACAATAATGGCTTTACTGCTGTGAAGTAGCCCAACTCCTTTTGATTGGATTTGAAGTCTGTTGCATAGGAAGAAATTCACTCCTGATCCTATAAACCTGGTCAAAAACCCAGGGCAGGGAAGGAGCCCTCTATTGTTGTTTTGCTAAATGGACATGGTGCCAAATATTTGTTTATACCCACAGATTAGTGTTAATCTCAATTTTTTTCAGAGAAGCCCATACCCCTTTGGCAGCAGTAAACACAAAAACTCAGAACTAGTAAAAAGGCTGAGAATAAGTGACCTCCCCAAGGCTCAGGGAACATTCTGGAAGGAGATGAAAGAACTAAAGGGTAGAAAAGAGTGCTATAAAATGCTGTCCTCTGGGTATGAAATGGCCATCGCACTCATGAAGTCACAGCATCAAGCCAGTCAACATTCAACACGAATGAGTGGACTCATCCTAGCTGAAGGACTACTGGCGATATGGCTGCTGGGCAAGGGAAAGTCACTTTTCTTCAGGGGTTGTAGTCACACCCATGTATTGTGGTAAATAAGGACGTCCCCATATATATGCAGGGACTCAGTAGGTTATAAAAAAAGAGTAAGATGCGAGGGTAGGAGGTGTTTGTGTTAGGGGAGGTCTGAGAAGAGGAGGAGGGGGAAGCTGTGGGTGGACATGATCAAGATATAATGCATCTTGTACATAAATATGAAATTATCAAAAATAAATATTATTTTTAAAAAGGAAGAAAAGTTCCAGAATGCTGTAGGTAAACCTTAGGTTCATTCTTGTGGGTGTTTGGAAGACCTGAGAGAAATGCAGACAGTGAGGCTGAGCTTCTGCTGTTTGGAATGGGAACAAGGACTCACTGAGAGCAGGAATAGAGACTATTTGTGTTACATCTAGCACAGAATTTGCCTCTTTTTTTTTAACTATGTTCTGGAAATTATAGAGGCTGAATTCCAAAGTAATTCAAGGCAGCACAGCATTCAGGCTATGGTATAGTTACGACTGGCTGCTTTAGCCAGGCTTACAGTGGGGTCTGAGAATAAAAATTAGAGCAGAAAGATTAAAAATGAACTATTTGGCCAGTAAAGAACATCTCAAGCTGGCAAAGCAAGTGTGACAGGTGGCCATACTTATTTGAGATAAGCACCATTAGGAAAAAGTCACTGGGATATAGGAAGGATGCTTTCAGGGTTTGGTGAGACCCTAGACATCATAGGCTCCAGACTATAAAACTGCATGCTCATTTGGAAGAGTTCCCCTTTAAAAGACGTAGCTGCAGGGCACAGGGGCACCCTGCTTGAATGGGGCTGCTTAAAGAAGTGTTGTCACAGGTTCACCCACCTAGGTACATAGAAGCCACTGTGTTCATGATATAAGGGGGCCTAGCTACATACCAATTAAATTTAGTGTTGTCCACATCCTGCTAGGTTTTCAGACATGCAGTATATGAGAGCTATGGGATCATGAAAGATTGTACACCGAGATTAAGGAAAGCTTGTGAGGCCCAGGGATTCAGGGTTGGGTTTCCTGTAAGGAGCATTTCATAGTGCAGAATCTCCAAGGATGAAGCCTAAGCAACAGTAGAGACCTCTGGACCCCAAGGAAATGACTGGAGCTAGCCCCAGAGAGAGGCCACATAGGCTGCAAACGGCAAGGCTGTGGGAGTGGAACTCTCTGTCTCTGTTGGTACTCAGATCATTCCACCACAAGTATTAAAAGCCAGACACAGAGCTACAGCATTCAGTGCCCTGCTAAGGTTCAGTGCGTCTCCCTCTAGTCTAATCTTTCCTTCCATCCTCCCATTTCTCCTATCTGGTATGGGCACATTTACCCTGACCCTTTGCAGTCTTGAAATACATGACTTTCCTTTTGATTTTACGGGGGCTCATGGCTAAGGAACTTCCCTGAGTCTCAAAAAGAAAACTCTAGACTTGGAATCTTGAACAATGTTGGAACTATTGAGCTTATGGGGACTCCTGAAGTTGGACTAAATGCATTTTGCATTTAAGATGACTGTGAACCCTTGGAGCCAGGCTGCAATATTATGGCTTAGCTATCAAATGTCTCCCACAGGCTCAAGTTCTGAACTACTTGTTCCCTAGCCAATGGCACTACTTTGGGAGGCTGTGGAACCTTTAGAAGGTGGGGGCCTACTGGCAGACATGTGATACTAGGGACAGGCCTTTGAAGGTATAGCCTGGCCACTGGTTTTAGAATCTCTTTACTTCCTGGGCTAATGTGATACTGACTCCACAAATGTTTATAATGCCATGCCCCGACCCCACGATGGACTGAAACTGGAGCCAAAATAATCTTTCCCACCAGGAAGCTGTTTCTGTCAGCTGTTTCCCTGCACCTATCAAAAATAACTAAAAGAAACACTCAGAGTCAGAAAACTCCTCTTAAATGCTTGAGCCGAGCACACAGTATAGACCACGCACAGCATCCAGCCGCCCCAGTATTGCTTACCCGATGGCACTGACATCACCCATGTGCCAAAGGGTAGGAAAGACAGCTTTCAGAAAGTTATAAAGTGGGCCCCAGTACCTGCTTGTTTTGTTACACTGCTTCACAGGCCTAGCAGGGACACAGCTCTGTCCTCTGTCTTCCTTCCCTTGACATTCCCAGCTCCCCAAAGACAAAAAAGGGAAACCTTCACTCCTAAAGCTCAGAAGTGCTGAGATGGGTCACGGCTTACCTGTGTCTGAAGAAGAGAACGTCTTGCTAACAGGGGCGCTGTGGCATGAGATGGCCTGGACAGAGATGTCCTTCTCAATGACCTTTACCTTGATGGGTGTTTTCACAGGGGACTCTGAAAGAACAAGAGTCTATCACCAAGGGCGTGAAAATTTTCAACAGAAGAGTCTAGAAAGTGAGAGGAGGCCCCTGCTGCACCTTTAGGCCCTGCAGTTGTTGCTTTAAGATTTATAGATTTATACCTTCTCGGTCTAAACTGGAATAAAAATTTAGACCCATTTTAATCAAACTGGAGTTCTCATATGGATTGTGGGTCCCTAACCTGTGCCAAGAGAGCTACTTTGGGAATATGATTGCCTTACACAAACAAACAATATACCAATAAAATGTGTTTTTCATCCTGACCCCAGAGGCCAGCTCTACATTGTACTAGAAAGGTTTGTGCTGCCCCTGTTAAAACAAAACAAACAAACAAACAAAAATGTTTTTGAGACATGGTCTCATATATCCTAGTCTGGCCTTGAATTTCATATTAGGCAAGAATGACCTTGAACTCCTGATCCTCTACCTCTACTTACCCAGGGCAGTGATTACAGATGTGTGTCACTATGCCTGCTTGATACAATCAATGCTGGGGATCCAATCCAGGGCTTCATCCATGTTAGGCCAATGCTGCCCAAGTGAGCCACATCCTCAGCCCTACATCACATCTCTTTATCATTGGAGTTTAACATACATTCAACTAATAGACTTTAAACCATCATGAATGTGATGGAGTACAGAGTCCATGTGGCTAGAGTATTAGAACCAGACTGCAATTTTGGTATAAATTCCAGACAGAACCTCACCTTTGCCCTTTAAATAAACTCTCTCTCCCCCTCCCTCTTCTTCCTTTTCTCCCTTTCTCCCTTTCTTTCTTTCTTTCTTTCTTTTTTTTTTTTTTTTTTTTTTTTTTTTTTGAGACAGGGTCTCTCTATGTAGCCCTGGCTATCTTGGAACTCAGAGATCCACCTGCCTGTTTCACAAGTGCTGAAATTGAAGGCATTTGCCATCATGCCTGGCTCTTTGTTAACTACTTTTCATAGAATATAAAGATAACTGTGCAATGCAAAAGTCTGATGCCAAATGTCTTTCTTTTCATGCTACCAGACTTCTTTGCCAAAGCTTGGTGCTGCAGCTTAAAGTGCTGTGTTGCAGGACAAGGCCCACGCATAGAGGCTGAGGACCTGTGGCTCTCCTGCAATGAGACTACACTCTGGGGTCTCACCTGAGCTCAGTGGGGACACCTTCCCAGTGTCAAAGCGAGGCTTGGTCTTCACAGCAGTGACAGTGGTGACCACAGTCCCACATGGCATCACTGTACGGTCCTTTTCTATCTTTGCAGCAGAAACAGGAGGAGCGGGCCAGGACTTCAGCTCACCAGGTTCTATGTAAGAAAACTGTGGCATAGGTGGACATTTATTTTGAAACATAGTGGAACCAGGGCTTCCATAGACAGCAATTTCCCACACTCACTGGATCAACACCCACACACAAGTCCCTCACAGAACATGGAGTCATTTCCTTTCCTGGTACAGTAATGACCTCCAGATGACCTCTCATACCAAATATGATACAAATGCAAGGGAACAGCTATTTTTCTGTACAGTCCAAAGAATTATGATATGATAAGAAAAATGGTCTATACATGTTCAATATGATGCAGTTTGAGTGGCTTTTTTTTTTCTGTTGAATATTTTCAGACTGCTTGGTGCAAGCTGCAGCTGTGGACCTGCAGATATGAATGAACCCTGCAGATAAAAGCAACAAGCTGACTTAGCAGTGGTACACTAGTTTCTGCTAGTTTCTTCACCCATGTTCTTCAGTGTTTTATTGTTGTTGTTGTCTTGGGTTTTTTTTTTTTTTTTTTTTTTTGGTTTTGCTTTTGTTTTTATCAACCTGGACTAACAAAGACCCAGGAGAGCCCAGCCCAGCTCCAATTCATTAAATGCTAAGAATGACCCAGCAGACAATTTTTTAAAAGGAGGGCAGCTGGGTCAGCTGAGGTAATACTTGGAAAAGGCATCTCCTATAGTACCCAGCTTAAGCCAGGTTTGGCAAGATGTGTCCACCTGAGCCTGAAGCACATGCTGAGAGAAGAGGGTGTCCTGGGTGAGCTTAGCCCATCATATGGAAGTTAACAGTGAGCCCTGGCAGGCAGGAGACAGGGCTGTAGCAGCAGAGAACATGGCATCATACCTCTGCAGTTACTGAGCCTAACACCAAGCTGTCGGGCTCTGTTCCACTGACCAGTCTGAAGGTGTGTGGGCCATTAGGCTGCTTCCTGAATAAGTCCAGGTGAATGGTTGTTGTCCCCAACAGACCTAGAGTGGAAGACAAAGAGAAGCAATGGTGATATTTCCACAGTCGTCACACACCCTAAGGGATGTCCCGTTAACTCTACTAAATAAAAAGAGGCTGCAGGCATTCCACAGGAAATCTATATGTCAGACCTGGCAGAAGCAATATCTAAACCACATAGAGTGTGGAACTGCACCAACCATCCTTGAACCACTGACAGAAACTGGAAAACAGACAGTGGGGGATGGAAAGAGGAATGTCATCAATGGAAATGAAGAAGCTACTGAATGTTCTGGGCAAAACAAGTATGGGAGGATGAGGGGTCAAGGGCATAATGACAGTGTCCTACTCTCAAATGCGTGCCTGTGTGGTAAAAGGAAGAGTAAGTAAGAGGGAGAGATAGGGCGAGAAAGGAGGAAGAGGGAGACAGAGATGGGGAGCAATGACTAAATGGACATAAAGATTATGGGCAATAGGGTGAATATTCATAATGAGAATTTAAACATGGGCTGCATAGGCACACTCTGCATGGCTTCTGTAAAGCTGTAAAGCTTTCACAGCCTCTATCAGGCTAACCTGGAATGGAGGGATGAGTCACCAGGAGCAAGGACCAGGAGGGATGAGAAGCCAATGGTAGCCTGATGCAGGGTGTCTCACATATCCACTCAAAGAAGGGAAGGTTTTTCTTACTACTTCCCCAGGCACCTAAAGATGGCAGACTCAGAGAGGCTCACACAGACCTCTTGATGGTAACTAGGGCATGATCATCCAGTCAGTCACCTGCCTTCCAACTTCCCTTCAGGAAATCACAAAAAGACTCAGTGGCACAGCTGGATAGGCCAATGGTCTCTTCCTTTCAGATTTTAATGTTTACATGGATTTTAAAACATCCAAGAAGTCTGGAAATGTAATTCACAACACTTAACTAGCATGCTTGAAACCCAGCACCACAAAAAGAAAGAAAAAAATAATGTGGCCAGTGACATGGCTTATCTGGTAAAGGTACTTGTCACTAAGCCTGATGAACTAAGCTTGATTCCCCAGGACCCACAAGATGGAAGGAGAGAACAAACTCCTCCAAGTTGTCCTCTGACCTCCACAGACACAGCCCTAAATGTAAAACAAACATTGGCACTACCAATGTACACACTCAAGTCCGCATTTATGTCGGTGACTTTATCCTGTCCTGTGTTTGAATCATATGTCTACTTTATTTTTTAAAAAATATATTTATTATCTATACAGTCTTCTGCTTGCATGTATGTATGCCTCCAGGACAGAAGAGGGTGCCAGATCTTATTACAGATGGTTGTGAACCACCATGCGGGTGCTGGGAATTGAGATCAGGTCCTCTGGAAGAGGAATCAGTGTTCTTGACTACTGAGCCATATCTCTAGCCCAAATGACTTTTTTTTTTTTTTTTTTTTTTTTTTTTTTGAGTCAGGGTTTCACTGTGTAGTCCCTGGCTGTCATAGAACTCACTCTAAAGACCTGGCTGACCTCGAACTCAGAGATCTGCCTGCCTCTGACTCCTAAGTGCTGGGATTAAAGGTGTGCACCAACGCCACCTTACTTGTTACTATTTTTTTAATTAAAAAAATGAAGGCAGTCCATTAAGTATAGAATGGTTCAAAATTGCTCCTCTAATCTAAAAATTATTGAAGGAAGATTCTAGTTTTGAAGAAACATGGACTGAAGAGGTGACTTAGAATCTAGGTTCAATTCCTAGCCCCCATATGGCTGCTCACAACCATCTGAAACTGGAAGATCAGACACCTTGTTTGACCTCTGTAGGCACTACATGCACACAGTACACAGACATACATGCAGGCAAAACACTCACACAATAGAAATAAAGGAAAAAATATAAAAACCAGACCAGCATGACCCCCAAATGAATGATATTATTGATGTTTGACTTTGTACTAAACATTTCATTGGGAGACCTGTGGTTCAGAGGAGGGGCCTGCCTCTTTGGCTGTTTCTCCCATCTCCCTTCTAGAGCCCTGGTCAGGGTGCTGATCTGGAGCAGTCTTCCACCCACCTTCTGAAGAACACTTATTCTCTGAGATCTGCAGGAGCAGTTCCTTAGATTTAGCGTTTAGTTCACTGTGGAAAGAACAAAACCTGTGAACCCTTCAAAGCTCAATGTAGACACATGATTCATAGTTTTTCTTTTAAAACAGTAACGGTGACATGTGACTGTTAATTTTAAGTTAATAAAAATTAACCAAATGAAATCAAGGTCTCAGTTTGTACTGGTCACCCATCATATGCCCCATGGCTGCTTTATTAGCTCTGTCTAATATGCTTGTCACCATAGGATGTTCCATGGATCTCCTCTAAAAGGCTAACCCCTGGGTGCTTCAGTGTCTAGTTCTGAACTGTCAGGCTGCAGGCAGTCTGCCTTTAATGACTAACAACCTTATGTCCCTTTGCATAACCAAAAAATATACATTGGAATATAGAACACGGAATATCCAACAAGCCTCCCTCCTCCTCCTAAGATACCTTTTGCTTAAGATACATGTAGCATTCCTGTTTCCATGCTATATCCACCATCATCTTTTCCTTAAGATATCACAGACTGCAAAGCATCTGCATTTTTGTCAAATGTCTAGTTCTCTGTTGCCTTGGCCTTAACAAATTCTATTCATGTCCTTATAGATCGAGGACTGTAAAATAGCCAAAGCCACAGAGAAACCCTATCTTGAAAAAAAAATTATTTTATGTATATGCATGTCTTGCCTGCATGTATGTATATCATATGCATGTTTGGTCTCTGCAGACACCAGAAGAGGGCATCAATCCCTTGGAATAGTTGTAAACTGCCATATGAGTACCAGGATCCCAAGAGCAGCCAATACTCCTGACCAGAGCCACAGCTTCCACATGGATGCATTTTAATGCATCATTGGACCCTAAGTGATGACATACTGGTTACCATTTATAAGTGGTTTGTGTGTCCCCATTTTTCTATTTTCCCCATCAGAGGTTGACATCAGTTAGAGGTTTCCTCCCACTCTGTGTGGCAGGCTGCTAAGGGAAGCAGGGAAGTAGCCAGTATCACAACAAGGAAAGAGAAATGTGATGCCCAGAACTGCCTTTAAAAAGTTCATGTTGGACTCAGGACTTGTTTTCATTTCCTTAATTAACTTTTAGTACAATTCTTCAAGGATCTGTCGTCCATCTTGAGCCAACCTAACTGTTGCCACCAGGCCCCTGAGAGGCAGGCTGTACTCACAAGGTGAATTCCTCCTCCCAAGTGAGGTCTGTAGCGTTTCTCACTAGGGTGCTGATGAATTGCTGTGCAGGATCATTCAGCTGGGCCACACACACATGGCTAATGCTCCCTGTGATGAGAGGAAGCAGGCTTGTATTGGCTTTTATATTTTTAATTGCATTAAGACTTTGCTTACCCACACAAGGAAGGATAAATTAACTGACAAGCTTACCTACACCTAAAAGACCTTTCTGTCATTTGTCATTTATACACTCTCAATGCTGGGGCAATAACTTGGTGGTAATGGCCCTGGACTGACCCCAGTGTCTGCTTTCTTCCATCAATTCATCAACTCTGGCAGTAGGCAGGACTCTCAGGTATGGAGTCTCACCCACAAGCAACATGCCTGTGGGCTGAGGCTTGGCCTCACTTCTAGACAAGACTAACAACCTGCCCAAAGGATGGCTGTTCCTAAACTTAAACTGTGACTACAACCCATGTCCCACTTATAACAAACAGGTGTTTTCATTCCTTATCTAACCCAAGGTCCTTTTGAGGTACTTGTAATAGGCACTGTGACATCTCACAGCTAGCTGTCCCAGCTCTGAGAAAATGTTTCCTCTACAGCATCAGTCCTGAAGTCCTCTGGGGTTAGTAACTACTACAGGGCCTGACTCCTTATCTTGCATCAGGTCAGGGTAACTTTCACAGTCTCTCCTAAAGGGAAGACTCAGATCCATTTCCTGATATTGGCATCTTAGTACAGATAGGGAATGAAATCTGGTTTCATAGCATGTGTACCCCAAAATTGGACCTTCCACCCATGGCTGCTAGTCCAGGAAATCCACTTGGCCACTAGTTGATACAGATATGAAAGGCAACATGCCAGTAATTGCACCAAAAAACAAAACACACACATACACACACAAAAAACAAACAAACAAACAAAAAAAAAATCATCTACAACCAGCTTTGTAAAGACAGTTCAAATGAAGCACCTTTATGCCTTGTAAAGTGGGGTTGGGGGTTGGGGAGAGAGAGAACCTTTGTAAATAGTGACCAGAATTCCTAGCATTCTTAAACAATGACAGAACCACATGTCTGTTTCCATCAACATCAAGCTGCAATTGATCAGTCACATCCTGCTTCAGACTGCTGAGCTTGGGGACCTCAGTGACCACTAGGAATCCTGGAGAGGGCCAGGGCTTGCAGCTGTCTTCTTCTCATCAGCAACACCAGAGGCATTAGTGAGCCTAAGCCCTCTGATCCGCCGTCATACCCCATACTCCACCATACTCCCCCTCCTACCCCACTTTTTAGGACAACAGAAGCTGCACTGCTCAGAGGCTCAGGGCTACTCAACATCAATTTATTGGCTCAGTTTAAAAAAGAAAACCAAGACTAGTATCTGTCAGGCTGAAAACAGGTAGAACAACCATGACACTGCTCTCCCTTGGCCTTCATGTACATGAGATAAGTTTAGATTATAAAATTTACATATTTATGGGGTTTAGTATGACACTTTATGGCATATATATCCTGTATAATTATTTCAATCTGTTACTAGCATTGCCACTGTTTCAAGTATATGCCCTTTGTCTGCTTCTGGAACATTTAGAATCCTTTCCACAACCTCTTTGGGTATACATGATTGGCCATCACCAGCCACAGTTGCTTACTATGCTAAGGGGGTTATAGCTAAGGGGGGGCCTCTGGACCCCAAGACCATTAGCCAAAGACCAGGCTTTTCACTGTATATTCTGCCAAGGAATGCAGGAATCATACTGGAGACCCAACCAGGCTGCCATATGAGGATTCGCCAGCCCAAGCCAAGGAAGGTCCCTCAAACAGTAGTGAGACCCACCTGAAGCACCAGGGTGGGTTAGCAGGGAGACTCGGATATTCTTCACCTGCAGTTTCAGTTCATGAGCCCTTGGAGGTTTGGGAGGGCAGGGTTCCTGAGCAGTAGAGGAAGTACACTGTAGAGTCTGTGGGAAGAAAAGCAGGGTAACAGCTGTGAGGATGTGAGGGGATGGCCAGAGGCACTAACTTTTGTAAGGAGATGACAGGACAGCCAGGGACACCGGCTTCTATATGGGTGGTATCTTTGGTGTCTTCAAGGATACCAGAATGGGACCTGACTGCCAGGATCAACTTAGAATTAACACTCCTGTCTCATGGGAAGGTTCTGTTGCCTCTGAGGTGAGCCTTTTCTTTTCCTTCTTTCCTTCCTTCCTAAAAGATTTATTTATTTATGTATATGTGTGCTCTTTTTTCATGCACATCAGAAGAGAGGTCCAAATCCCATTACAAATGGTTGTTAGCCACCATGTGGTTTCTGGTAACTGAACTCAGGACCTCTAGATGAACAGTCAAGAGCTCTTAACCACTGAGACATCTTTCCAGCCCCATGGTGAGCCTTTTCTATCCCAAATGAAGAAACCATCAGACAATGATGACCCTATTCATATTCTGCTTGTGGTCTACTTCCCAGGACAGTGAAGACTAGCCAGCAAATGGTTCCATGCTCAGTCCCAGGAGAGGTGCTTTAGATAGTGAATTGGCCTTCAAGCTTGACAATACCTAGATATGAATGTCCATCAGTCTGTGATCACCTCTTGTCTCCCAGCAGAGCCCACCAATCCAGAGGTAGGTGCAGTATTATGGCATCTCAGAAGAGCATCAGCTAATGGCTGCCATGATGGTGCTCACAGGGGCTCTTAAATTTTGCATAAGAATCTAAGGATCCAGAAGGTTCTTTGAGTAGTGCTGAACAAACAGTGAAAGCCATGTAGGAACTATCCTGGGTGCTGACTGAACTTCAGCTACTTCTAGGGGAGTGTTTATTAACCCTCATGATAGGGAACACCCAGCAAACACTGAACTGGACCAGGTTCTTCCCTGCAGTGAGTGAAGAATGCCAAAGGCCAGCAAGAACTATAAACTTCCTTAAAGCACTGGGGTGGGATGGAGATGTGATACTTTGTCAGTTGTATATGTGTGGCTATTTTTTTTTCTTTCATTCATATGTACATGTACATGTATATATGAGTGTTTACATGTGTGTAGGTTCACATGTGGTGTGAGCATGGACCTGTCTGTGCATATGTAAGCCTGTGGTTCTCAGCAAGTGTAATCCTTAATCACTCTCCACTTTATTCATTGAGGCAGGGTTTCTCCAATGAACACAAAGCTCACAAATATAGCTAGTCCAGCTAGCCAGCTTACTCTAGGATCCTCTGGTCTCTGCCTTCTGAGGCTAGAATTAGAGGCAGACCACCATGCCTACCTGGCATTTACTTTGGGTTCTAGGGATCCAAATTACGGTCTCCATACAGGCACAAAAGTGCTTTACCACTATGCTATGAGGGTTCCACTTCTGGTTAAACACTACCTGGGTGTTTCTGTGATGGTGGTTTGACACAGATTTTTGTTTCTCTGAGACAGAGTATTGTGTCACCCAGATTGGCCTTAGTTTCATTATGTAGTGGAGGATGACCTTGAACTTCTGATCTCTGGTCTCTACTTCCTAAGTGCTGGTATTATAGGTATGTGCTACCATACCCAGTGTACATAGTCTTAGAAATCGAACCCAGGACTTCATGCATGTTGCATGCTAGGAAGTACTCTTCCGACTAAGTTATAGTCCAACAGGTCAACATTTAAATGGGCAGACTGAGTAAAGTAAATGACTATCCCTAATAGGGTCGGCTTCATCCCATCAGTTGAAGGCCTGAGTTGAAAAAAATAAGCCACCCTCAAATAAGAAGGAATTCCTCCTTCCAGGCACCTCAGCCACACCGTGGTCTTTTTCTGCTTTTAGAATCAAACAGAAACACTGGTCCTCCCGGATCTGAGCTCTGAGTCTGTGGTCAGCATGGACTGAGGCCAAATCATCAAAGCTATTCTAAGCTTTGCTTCAGACATAGGTTGGAATCATACCGTGTATGTATCAGCCACAAGGCAATAATATATCTTATAAATCTCTCTCATGCCCATGTCCCAGGGCTCTATTTCTCTGGAGAGCCTAGTCATACGTATAGCACTTAATGCAACTGGACAATTTCATTTTAGAATGTGATTCGGTATGATAGCATAGGTCCTTCTTTTTTCAATACGTGGATTCTGAAAATACTATTTGTTAACTGTCTCCCATTTTGACAAATTTATGGTCACCAATCTCCTCTGCTCTTTAAGAATCAACCATTAACAGGATTACTGGGAGATGCAATGGTCAGGGTTTGCTCCAACCTCTGTGGATGTATGACTGACTCCAATATTTGGGAAGGCTGGGTACCCCCTAACCCACTTTCATGCCTCTGAGAGACCCTGAGGGAAGTTTATAACCCCTGACGTTCTCATCTGCTAGCTGAGCTGTGCCTATCACAATGTAAGCAAAGGAGAGTAAAGATGACTTCTCATATCCCTGTGCCCTTAGTCACCTAGAATTTAGCACCAAACATTATCACCAGCTGACAGTGTCTGATGTATGGTGCAAAGTGGGGGACCATAGCTTCATCAGAAGAACAACAGTGAGTAGCCTGACAACCTCTCTCACCATGGAGCTCTGGTCATGAGGCCCTATTCTAATACCATGGACAATATCTGCAATGTCAGTCCCACCATGAGCGGTGAGGGCAATGGAAACACAAGCTCAGAATCACCTGTGTCCTGTGATCTGGGCTTACCTGAGCTTCTTTGACCCGTGTGGGCTTGGTGCTCAGAAACACAGATGGAGAGGCAGCATCAACTAGGTGCTTGAAAAGATCCTTAAGGGCTTCAGAAAGCATGTTTACCTCGAGCACCTGCTTCTGAAGAGAGAAAGGCCATCAGATCATTGCACATCAGATGCAGGTACCTGACAGGTATGATTACAACATCAGACTACATTAAGCAACCTTGGTGTGAGGGCTATGCTGGCTCTTGTCGCTGGGACTGCAACTGTCCTGCTATCCCATGATAGGCTAGGAACAGCAGCAGCCTCCAGGAGCACAGCCAGGGAAAAATTGGGGACCTCACCCATAACGAACCAATTGTGCCAAGAAGTATGTGAGGCCCCTGAGCTGCAGAGAAGCATAGCCCAGCTAAGAACTTGATGGCAGGCAGAGAGAGCCAGGGCTTAGGGCCAGACAAGGTGTGCAAAGACTCCCCAGTGCTATTCTCATTCATTAGGGAAATGTGGGTCTGCTACTGAGCCACAAAGTAGTCCCCAGAATGCCTCCATAGAGAAATGTATAGGATGCCTACAGGATGAGGAACAGGAAGCCAGCATGCTGCTGGCTGGGTACAGGAGGAATGAACAAGATAATCTTTGTAAAAAGACAATGACATAAGTCACTTTTGTGCAGATATCAGTAAAGCCAAATGGAAGGTAGCAGAGCTTTTTCCCAGTCTGTCAGTGGTGCTGACTTTGGATCAAACTTCCTTTATTTTTTTTAATTTGTTTATATTTTATGTATGAGTGCTCTGCATGTATGCCTGCATGCCAGAACAGGGCAACAGATTCTATTATAGACCGTTATGAGCCACCATGTGGTTGCTGGGAATATAACTCAGGACCTCTGGAAGAGTAGCCAGTGCTCTTACCTGATGAACCATCAAATTTTCAATAGTCAAAAATATACACAAGGGGTTAAAGAGAAGGCTTAGTAGTTAAGAGCATTGGCTGTTCTTCCAGAGGAAGACTCCCAGCACCCACAAGATAGCTCACAACCTTTTCTGACTTCAGTCCCTGAAGATTCAATGCCCTCTTCTGGCCTCTGCAAGCACTGCACACATATCATACACACACACACACACACACACACACACACACACACACACACAGGCAAAACCTCCATATACATAAAAATAAAATTAAAATAAACATATTAATCAATAAAGATGGGAAAATCCTACACCTGAACATTGACTGAGGCAAATAAATCAATATCAGATTGGTAACAAAGCTATCCATGGCGGGGGGATGACTTAAGAAACCACACAGAATGGTGCCCTTCTTTGCATTAAGAAATTCAACATGGCTGAGCTTGCCGGTGTGTATTGCAGGCTTGAACAAATGATGCCATCATCAGAGAGAAGCTAGCAGCAGAAGGGAAGAGAAGGAAGGACTGCCTCAATTCATTCTCTCTTCCTCCTCCTTCCTTTGGCTATTTGCTTCTCTCAGACAATGACATCATCTGTCCAGACCTGCAGTCCACACAGACAAGCCCTGACATGTTCAATCTCTTCTACTGAGAAGGGGACCAGTCTGTGTTCAAGATTCCTCCCTCCCCCATATCTATGTTACCAATCTGATATTAGTTAATAAGCTTCAGTCAGTATTTAGTGTGTGTGTGTGTGTGTGTGTGTGTTAAATTTACCAGCTCAAAGCAAACCAAAGCCAAACCAACCAAATCCTAACCCTCACACTGCATACATCTATAGCAAAACACAAAGAGCTGGATGGTGTTGGTGCACGCCTTTAAGTCCAGCACTTGGAAGGCAAAGGTAGGCAGATCTCTGTGAGTTTGAGGTCAGCCTGTTCTACAGAGCAAGTTTCAGAACAGCCTCCCAAGCTTCAGAGAAAAGTTTCAGGTCAGCCCCCAAAACTACAGAGAAGCCCTGTCTCAAAAAAAAAAAAAAAAAAAAAAAAAAAAAAAAAAACCAAAGCAGCAACAACAACAACAAAATATCCCACAAAGGCTAAAATATTGACAGGACTGGGGTGGAACACTTGTTTAGCATTTTCAGTGCCCTGGGTTCCATTCCCAGCAGCAGAAGAAAAATATGGAGAGGAAAAGACAAAAGAGGAAGAAGGAAAGAAAAGTCTCTAATTGGCAAACACACTTTCTAGCCCACATCTCTACTGTGATGAGGCCTCGGTGGCTGACCTGTTGAAATAGAGCAGAACTACATGGGAATTTTGTGAAAGCCACAGGAAAGACTTCCTGTCCAGTAATGAAAAGTGACACCAGGGCTCTTTTTGCACATACTCACTGCAGCCCAGTTTCTGTCCTCACATGCTGAGGTCCCCAAAATGGAAGGGACAGTGTATTCTCCATCAAAGCTGTCCCCCCACAGTGCCCTGTCTCTTGTGACCTAGGTCAGTATGGGGAGAATGGCTAACAGGGGCTACCCACCTTAGAGCTACCCAATTTGAGATATGCCCTATCCATGCATCTATAAACCAGTGAAAAAAATGACAAAAACTTACGGACTGACCTCCCCTGGGGCCTGGGGTTGGATCTTGATGGCTGTTTCTGGCGCATGGGTGAACGACCACCTGATCTGAATGTCCTCTCTCTTCTCTTCCATGTGGAATTCCATCTATGAGAACAAACCATCAGTTATTGGGTAGCTGAGCTTCTCACCTGAGCCTTAATTATCTCGTGTGCACACGCATATGTGCATGCATATTTTATGTATATGTGTTATATGTTTGTACTACGTGCTGTGTCTGTACAAGGTGTGCATACAAATATGGACAAGTTGTGTGCTGTGTACATGTGCACTGATGCTCTCTGTATGTTCGCTTTTTAAGACTTACTTTTACTTTATGTGGGTGCTGATTGGCTTTCATCAACTTGACCTAAACCTAGACATACTTTGAAATGCCTCCATCAAGCCTGTGGGGACTTTGATCAATGACTGATGTGGGAGAGCAAAGTTCATTATGGGCAGTGCTACCCCTGGGGAGGTGGTGCTGGGCTGTATAAAAAAGCAGGCTGAGAAAGTCGTGGCGAGCAAGCCAGTAAGCAGGACTCCTCCATGGCTCTGCATCCACTCCTGCCTCCAGGCTCCCACCGTGAGCTTCTTCTACCCTGACTTCCTTCAGCGATGGAGTGATTCCTTTTTGTGTGCCTTTATTCCCCTAACTTTGGGGAGTTTACTTGGGTTATATTGACCAAATGAAGGCATTTGTTAGTCACACCATTTGATTAACTATCATGTCTTTTAATCAAGAAGTCTCTCCTGTTCAAATCTAATCTTTACCAATTTTGACAATAACCGTAGCTTTTCTCCTTCTGTGGAAACAAAAGTAAAGCCCCTCCCCCAACATAACACATATCCTAGTTTCCATTCTGAGGTCAACATATCTTTAAAATACACAGGGTGATTTAATTCAGCAGTTTTTTTTCCCCCGTCTATTATTCAATGTCTCTCTACAGCTGTGATTCCTTTCTTATTAGCATTTAAAAAAATTAAAGTTAATAAAGTATTGTATAATCTAACTCTGTGAGTCTTTATTACTGCTTTCTGTTTATTAAACATATCTTTTACAGTGTGATTAGTTCTTTCTATAACTGCTTGTCCTGTAGGATTGTACAGGTATACCTGTAATATGCTTTATATTGTAATATGCAAAAAACTGTTTCATTTTACTAGAGACATATGCTGGGGTATTATCAGTCTTAATTTGTACAGGTATTCCCACAATGGCCATAACTTCTAATTAAATGTGTGATTACAGAATCAGCTTTTTCAGAACTCAAAGCAATTGCCCATTAAAATCCTGAATATGTATCTATGGTATAGGATACATATTTTAATTTTCCAAATTCTACAAAATGAAACCCATTCATTTGCCCAAATTTCATTTCTTTGAGTACCCTTTGGGCTACTTCCTACAGGTAGTGGAGTTTGTTTATACAAAGAAAAAGTAGGACATTTCCTTGGCTTGTTGCCAAGTGATGGAAAAAAGCTTTTTTTGGACCCAAGAGTTGTAAGCTGTAATGAACCTTTTCCTCCCCAAGTTGCTTCTAGTCATGGTGTTCTATTACAGCAATAAGAAGTAATTAATACAATGTATATGAGTTGCCTATGTGTATGTACGTGTACTGTATGCATGCTTGGAGCCCCTGGCCCCTGGAACTGGAATTATGAAAGATTGTAAGCTACCATTAGGATGCTGGAAACCAAACCCAGGTCACCTGCAAGAACAGCATGTGGTTCTAACTACCGAGCCCCTTTTTCCAGCCCTTATGTGTGTTCCTTTTGTCACCTATTTGTGCAGACAATGGCTCAGTTTCTGACCTGGTCTACACTGTTCTTTCAGAATGGTTATGAAGACCTTCCCACCACACCCTTTCCAGCCCCTTCTCTGCCCGGGCAGCCCCTCACACCAAGTGTCACTGGCACTCTGCAGCCTTATTTAAATAAGGCATTCCCTGTGTTCTGTGCTTCTCTTTCTGCCATCAAGGCGTAGAGGAGGGGAGAGAGCAAAGGGACCCAGGGTACCCTGTCTTCAGGGCTGGGCATGGCCAGTACCCATGTTCACATGTCCCTGGGTAATATATGAGGTGCCATATATACTGGTACCTCTCTCACCTGAACCACTCCAGCAGCCTCAACTGGTCTCCTATATTGAATAGTCCTACTCATGTAGAGGGGGCAAAATCATGTAAAGATGATCAGGCCTTCACCTTGGAGCCTTATATAGGGCCAGACATAGTAAAAGGGGCTTGGTAGGTGTGATTAGGGCTAGACCTTTATGTTGTAAGAACTTCTTATGTCTCTAGGTGACCAAAAGGAATCATAAACATCCTTAACACAAACAGAGGCTGGCAGGAGAATGGACTACTAGGTAAGGAGGGCTACATCCACGGTGACTGAGCTGAAAGGGTATAAGGCACAGTGGCCATGCAAATAGCGAGATGGTATGAGCTTTTTACAACTAATGTATAACCAACAGGAACATGAGCCCACAGTCCCATAACCCTCAAGGACCCTATTGAACGAGGCTATCTTCAGAGTCAAACTAACATCACTTTCATCAGATCATCTATATGTGCTTGTAACAGATCTTCAAAGCTGGGCTTGCCAAATTCTGACATTTCCTCACAAGAGGCCGAGTAGGTCATAGGACCCTCACCCAGTATCTAGTTACTTCTCAAAACCAGTTATACACAATTCTGTCCCAATTCCACATGACCTTAGAGAGTATATAGGCTGAGAGGAACTAGAGAAGGGGGCTCTCCATCTACACAGCTGTGGGGACTCATCATCCATGCTCAGTACAGACCTTACAGTGTGCTGTGCCGTTATGAGTCATGCTCATGGTGGCTTACAGTTTAAAGCTGATGGATGACCTGACTCATAATTGATAAGAACACGAAACTCTGCAACTCAGCAGGGAACACAAGGTTATATCTACCATGGATTTCCTGTGATGGATGGCATTTACACAGCCTTACCTTTAAATGAAATGGGGAAAGCCGGACATCAAACAGCTGGCATTCTGAACTGGTGGTGGAGGCAGGCCTTGCACTGACCAAGAACTGAAGGGTCTCACCCACCACATGACAGATCACCATCTGGAGAGACAGGGGACAGAGGCTCTTCAGAAGACAGCAAGGACAGCGCTTACCACAGACACCTTAATTTCACCCAATAACCTAGACTTTCTATGTCATCAAGGAAAGAATTCTGAGTCTCAATCTTGAATAAACACTGAGATGTACATCTTTTCTACTAATGTACAGTTTTTAAAAACTAGACACTGTCTCAGATGCTCGATTCCTGATGGATTCTCAAGAGCCAAAATCTGTCCTGCTTAAATCTAGTTGTTATGCTTTTTCCATATATATTGTTTTCCTTTAAAAATCACTGTTACATATTTTTTTTCACAATGGCTGCTTTCAAATTCCCTAAACAGGGCCAATGAGATGGGTCACCATGTACAGGTGCTTACTACCAGGCCTAAGAATATGAGTTCCATACCCAGGATTGGCATGGTATAGGCAGAGAACCAACATCTACAGGTTGTTGTTGCAGGACAGAGACTGTTCTAATAAAGTTAACCTTGAATCAGGGGCGGAACCAGTGACTAGCTGACCTGAATTAGCCATAGAGAAGATGGGAATGTGGATAGAGAAGATGCATAGGAAGGAACAGGGAGGGATTTAGAGATTTCACCCGTCTGGGAAATGCGAAGAGGTCAGCTGGTCACTCCTCTGCTGCTTCTTTATCTACCAAGTTTTACCCCAGCGTTTGATTCCCGAGTCTTTATTGGTGACAGAACAACTTAGATAAACATATCAAGTTGCCTCTGACTACACACATACACACACGCCACACAAAATATAATTAATGAACTTATTTTTTTAAGTCCTAGACATTTCTACCCTCATGTAGAGAAAAGCTACTTGCCATCTTTTGCTAAAAGTAAGCCTGTCCTGGAACTAGCTCTGTAGACCAGGCTGACCTCGAACTCACAGAGATCCATCTGCCTCTGCCTCCCAAGTGCTGGGACTAATGGTGTGCACCACCACCACCTGTACACATTAAGTAATTGTAAAATTAAATAAGTCTAACAAAAATAGAATTATAACATGAGCTCAAATATAAAATGAACTTGCATTTTACAACAAAGTTCTAGAAGACAAAGACAAGTAATTACATCGACAATAAAAGAAACCACAATCTACTAAGTCATAAGACACTTCAGAGTGGTGTTTTGATGACGAAAATAACAGTATTTTTTGGGGGGAGCAGATCTTCTAAGTCAGACTCCAGACATGCCTGGCAGAACCCTGAGCATGCCCAGTGCACACCAAGATTAGATGCCAGGTATAGGGGCTGCAGCCACAGGGTATGCTAGGTACTGCCAATAGGGTGGCTAGACAGCCCAGAAGCTAGACAGTGAGCCACTGGAAGTCTGAACATGACACAGGATAGACCTCTGCCTTCCCCTAAGGAATGGCTGACTCTAACCCCAAGGCTCACTTTAGGAGACAGAAAATTCTCTAATTCTCTGGTTTGTTTCTCAGAACCTAAAACACAAAGCAGAAAGATTGTGAAAACAATTACTTTACTAGGCCTAATGCACAAAGTTCAGAACTAGGGCATCCACCCTGTCTTTCTTCTATTAACCTTGACTTCCCTATGCAGCTCTCTTCTGCTGACAGCACCCCCCAACACACATACTCTTAACACATCCTTGGTGTGCTCTGAGCCCCATTAAGGCAGCTTCTGAAATCTAGGAGTAGAGTCCTGAGTACACAGGCCTAGCACTAGTTCACATTGTTTCTCAATTCTGGAAGAAACTGGATCACCTTTCTTTCCTCCGTTCCCATGACACTGCTCTTAAAAGACAAATGACAGGGACTAGTTATGTCTTCCCCATGCCCAGAGTTCACAGAGGGTTGGAACAAAAACACAAAAATGTTTGGATAAGAAATGTTGCTGATTTGTGTTAAAAATAAATGTTCTATAAACAATCCTCTCTGGAAATTTTGATAGCAGAGAAACTACACCAATGACTGAACAGCAGGGAAATGCTGCTGTTCCCAGGGCCTGTGCCTTTTACTACTTGAAAATAAAACAACAATAAAACAGAGGAGGGCTTGCAGCATTACTGTCAAGGTGCTCTAGAACCTTCTATACTGAGCCCATCAGCACTGTGATAAGAACACAGTTGGCTAGGGGTGAGAAGGTGTGCTTTAAAACTCATCCCTTGAGAAACACAGAGTATCTAAACACTTGGGTAAATCAAGGAAGCAATCAGGCCAATAACTACATTCAAGGGACCTGAGGACATCTAGAACACAAGACTCTAAAGCTCATGATGGTTAAAAACTTGACACCCATATAGACAAGCTTCTTCCACCTCCCTTGACCCCTCGCCCCTCACATTCATGAAGGATTGTTTAGATTAGGTTAGCCCTGGACATGTTTGTGGGGATATCTTGCTTAAATTAACTGAGGTGGAAAGACCCATTATAAAGGAGACAAACAGGATCCCTTGGCTGGAGTCTTGAATAGCATAAAAAAGAAGTGAGCTGAGCATTCACCACTCTGCCTTCTGAACGTAAATGCCAAATGACCACACACAAACCCTCTCTCCCTTAAGCTGTTTTTGTCAAGTATTTTATCATAGCCATGGGAAGAGGGACTGAGATGTCACTCATCTCCCCTTGCCCCCAGAGCTAGCAGAATTACTGATGGAACTTCTTCAGGTTGGAAAGTCTTTTAATGGCATCTCAGATCTTCCACAGTTCTGTTGTAGCCCATCAGCCATGCACACTGACCTTTATTATTGTCTACAGTGTATATCCCAAATCTTGTTAAACAAACCACCTGAGCCCACCATCAGTCCTGTGGGAGTAGGAAGCTGCCTTTGTTCTTTCTTTTCTCTTTTGAAAGAGAGTCTTACTCTGTAGTTCAGGCTTAACTGAACTCACTACATAGCTTAGGCAACAGGACTCTCCAGTCTCATATGCTGGGATTACAGGATGTCACAATACCTCTCTTAATCACATTTTTTTTTTTTTTAATTTAAGAGCTTTATGGCTCAGCATGGCTTGTAGCTCACTACGTAATTCAGGCTCATCTCAAACCCATGACACTCTTCTTGCCTTGGTCACCTGAGTAGCTCACAGGCATGGATCACCACACCTGGTTGACCTCAACATTCTGATGTGCTAGTCAAATCAAACAGCTCTCAGTGGACAGACAGCCATCAGGGCTGAACCCCTCCCCAGAGTTCCACCTCTGCTACCAGAGATCCACATGCCTCATTTGTCAAATGGAGGAGAACAAATGGTTTTAAGTTGGTAATCTTCTTTATGTATATTAATAGTGATCCGTGATGGGGATTAATTCCCCAACCCACACAGAAGGCTTCACTTTCAGGCCTTTCAACTGAACAGCAGTAAGCAGGATCCCTGTACATGTTCAAGGGACCCTTACAACTTGCTAGCCATCTTAAAGGTACAGAATGCCCAGAGTTGACACCTACTTCAGGGTCTATGAGGAGCAGAGATCTAGTTGTGAATCTAGAGCTTTTTAGTTAGATGATAACTAGACTTCCTAGTTACCCCCTCAGTGGGCAGGATGTGTACCTGACTAAGCATGGTTTTTAGGTCCTTCTAGTGTGAATTCCAAGTATCTGTTCTGGAATGACAGTGCATAAATGCATACAAGCTTGCATGTGTTGTGTACGAATGTGTGCAGATGTGTTAACCCGTCCAGGCAAGTGTGAAAGCCAAAGGTTGATGGTGACTGTCCTACTCAATTGCTTCTCTACCTATTTTTTTTTTTTTTTTTTTTTTGAGATAAAACCTCTCATTCAACCTGGAACTCACCATTTCTGCTAGACTGGCTGGCCAGCAAACCCCAGGATCGGCCTGTCTGCACCCAGCACTGGGTTACATAGGGACACTGCCATGCCTGACTTTTACGTGGATTTTGGAGATACGAACTCAGGTCCTCATGATTTCATGGTAGGCACTTTTTCCAATGAGTCATCTCCCAGCCACCCTGATTTTGTTTGTTTTTTTTTTTTTTTTTTTTTTTGTTTTTTTTCATTTTGTTTTGTTTTGAATTTAAAGACAAAGTCTCATTATGTACCCTTGGCTGGCTTGGAACTCACAATGTACACAGACCATGCTGGCCTTGAACTCTTAGAGATTTACCTTTCTCTGCCTCCTGAGTGCTGGGACTAAAAGATTATACCACCATACCCAGCTTTCTACTTCCTGTTCTCTCTCTGAGCCTTAGGATTCAACAATCAGGCCAGTCTATATGGAAAGAAGCTCCGGTAGCTTGCCTGCCTCCACCTCCCCAACTGTGGAATTACAAGCACATGCCACCATGTCCAACATTTAAAACAAAATTCAAATCAAAACAAAAAAAACTAACAATATGAATTCTGGGGATAGAACTCAAGTCCTCATGCTTATAAGGCAAACATTTTACCAACAGCCATCTCCCAAGCTTTTTGAAAGGTTAAATATCATTACTATCTATTATGTGTGCACTTGCCTCTCAGGAGTGAGCTTCCTAGATAAAACTAAAATAAGCCACAGACCTGCCTGGGTCCTGAGATCTTTTCTCCCCCAAAGCATCCACAGAATCCTCAATGATACCACCATTTCAGAACAGAAGCCCAACTGTACTTCCCACGAGATACTGTCCTTTTCAAGGGGGCAGGCCATAGCTTGGGTAAGGATATTGTTGTCCCCTCTCCCCGCTCTTTTCTCTGGCTTTGAGAACTTACACCCACACATACAGATTCTGTCTGGGAAATATGCCTTGTGTAGAAGGGGAGCCCCAAGTTTCCTGTCAAAGGTCCCAAGTCACTGCTGTTGCTTGCCAACCAGAAAGTCCCAAATCCTTTAAAATCTCACCACTTTCACTTTCCTTTCCAACTCACCTGTGGTAATACCTCCTCTCAAAACATTCTAGAGTTCAAACCATTCTTTACTTTTGCCTCTAAAGGAACTTGGGGCACAGCTAAGAAAATGCACCTAAAGAGTTACTAGGGGATGCTTTTTAACTTGGATCACATGTTATAAGCCAAACAAACAACAGA